TTCTTGTACTTTTAAATGTAGAAAATTGTAAATTTGTACTCAATGCAGACACCTGATAAATGGGAATATACTCTGAGGAAGGGTATAAAAACCGTATGAAACCATTAAGTGTGATTTATCGACTATAAAATACCCCTTTACCGCAAATAGGAAGACAGAAATGCATTACTTAACAGAGCGCTTAAAAATGTACCTCAATAGCAGTGCCTTCAACAGAATGTTAAGGCGCACTCTTATCTCTCACACACACACACACACACACACACACCCAATTGCATGCATTTGCTCGCTCTTCGGTGGATGACAAACTTCTGAACAACATTGATATAGTCCACTCCTATCCAAGGGTATGCAAAGATAGATAGAGATAAGGCATTGTATGTACATATGTACGCATGCATGTGTGTGTGCACACCGTGGATCCGATGCCCCCTCTCCATATTATTTTCCACTCACTCTTTCTTTTGGCTGTCTTGCGATTGCCGTTTTTTCTGGGTTCGTCTGCTTTATGCCAGTTTTTGAATGTGCCATATTCTCTCAAGCACATTCGCATAATTCGTGAATACTACATACACGCATACGCGCGCAGTGAGATCAATTGAATGTGGAATGACTTATGAAGAGGCTTTTATGATCATTAAAATGAATCATTTGTTGGCCATTTGTTTTTTGGTTGATGAAATAAATTATTGCATTTGATCAAATGAATCTTTTCATGTGCCCAAAAACCGAACATTTCTTGCCATCGACATAATCCACACGTTAAATCTTGGTTCCCCCGTCTCTGAGATTGCCTCGTTTCACTGTAGAAATGCCTGTTATATTCATAATCACCTGCTAATTGAGGCCCCAGTTATCTCTGGCAAGACGCATTCTCCCTTCCACCCCCTCCCTACTGCATTTGTTTACTGTTGTCACGTTTCGGTGGCTTATGTGCAGAAAATTTCACCATTTCCACATGTCATTGCTATAAATAGATGGAAAACCAAACGACAGAACGACAAAAACATGCAATACAATTCACAAACGTCAGTGGGGGGGGTGGAGAATGAATAGAAAATGGTTGGGAATGGGGGAAGATGTCTCCACCGACCGCGCCCCATTCCCCATTACACCCCGCCTCCGCGCGATAAGCAACAACGGTCTCTGGTTTCTATATATAGTACAATAAATATTGTGTGTGTGTGTGCGGTTTTTGCTTTTGTTGTTCCCGCAATAGTTTTGGCTTGCCCTTGCGCTTAAAGGCAAAAAGCACAATAAAAGGCACGTGGAAGAAGGCAAAAAGAAGCAGGAGGAGAGAGCAAAAAGAAGCAAGAAGTCGAGGATCCCCACAGTAGTTGAATGTGGGATACCCTGTAGTAATCCACAGGATTTATTCAGCCATAGAATAAACTTTTTAATGAGGAAATATTTCGATTCAAAACTGTATGCCATTGTAATAATTTGTATTATTTATTTAGATAGATAATACTTTTGCCACAGCTTGATATAAATTCAGTGTAATGAGTCCTTTCGCTTATGGGAACATTTTCTATAGCGAAGTCAGGGATAAAAGATTCAGCATCTCTTTTTATCACATACCTCCCCACAAACACAATATACCCTCTGGAACCCTTCTGAGTACCACGTATAATTGAAAGAAATTTCAACAATGTGATTTTTCGACAAGAGCTAACCTTGAAAGACATGCAATTTGTGAGGCAGAGGCAGCCAAGTGACAGAGGACATGCATTCCGATAATTGCAATAACAAGTTGATTATTTATCATTAAGACAAACATCAGAACGGAGGGCAGCTGTCTCTCAGCCCACACTTGCAATCCCTATCGCCATGGGGAGGGCAACACTCCAACCCAACCGAACAGAACTGAGCCTTGGAAGTACGTCAAAGCGATAAAGGCTCTCTGGACGGAATGACGCATAAGAAGCCGGCAGTAGCAACAGCAGAACACGCGTCATACAAATTATTACGAACGGACGGGCCACTTGGCAACTGACAGATTGTTGGGTTTCCTCTGAGTTTTCCACTCGGAAACTCTCTAGATCCTACCAGCGCCTGCCCCCCCCCTCCCAATAGATGCAAGAGTTTCCTTTAGAAATTCAAATTTCCATTATGGCGAAATAGGTTTCCCCCCAAAGAGAGGAACAGCGCTGCCCCTCCCTTTGCAATTTGTCGCAGAAAATCAATAATTCCCAACAGAGGCCCCATTTGCGGCTCGTTTCGGCTTTTTCTTGCTTTCGGGTTCTGTTTGTTTTCCTTCGCTCTGCCCTGAATTTCTGTCTGTGTTCTTAACGTGTCTTCTGTTTGATTAACACGACTGAAACAGAGAGAAGCCTTGACTATGCCGATAGACAGCCTAATGGTGGCTGTTCTTAAAGCTGTACCTGGAGGTAAAATTAAACCTTAAGGTTAATGTTTTGTGGGGGAAATAATTCAAAGAAGATACACAAATAGGTGAATATTAATAGATGGAAAGCCTTGACTATGAATAGATCTTATTTAAAATGTTCTTTAAATATAGAAAGAATATTTAAGGGATTTTTAAAGGTTATACAATAAGTGTAAGAAAGCCCCAGCCTTAAACATCGTTTGACTCTTAGAGAACATCTGTTCCCATCGAATTGAATTGCACACACAGGCATTTCCATAAATCTCACTCTCTGTTTATATAATGTCTGGGGTCTGTCTGGGCGGCTGTCCGGGTGCGTCTGTATCTCCCGCGCTAATCGACACCTCTTCTCTAGTGTCTAGACTTTGGTTCAGCTTCTGGTTTTGGGACATCGAATTACTTGCGCGCACTTACATACTTTCCGATTTGTTTATGAAAAAACCACGCCAATAAACATGAAATATATGTGTCCGGCTGCAATTCCAGGCAGGAGGTATTGTGTTGAGTCTGGGAAAAATTGAAAGCGAAAGCTGTTGCACGTATACAAAAAAAAAGGTAGACAGAATTTTGCAGTACTTTGAACCCCAGATACCAGACGAGAGACGCGAGACGGAGAGACACAGACCCCGAAATTCAATTCCCTTTTTTTTATGGTATGTATCCCTCTTCACTTTTTTTTGTGAAGACGTTTTTTGGGTTCCTGTTCGGGAAGTTCTTTGTCTTTCGAAATGCCATTGACTGTTGCCTGTCCGGAGAGTCCAATAAACTTTTATCCCTAGCCACAAAGACAGCTGTTAGCCAACGAGAAAAAAAAAACTGTATGCAAAACTTTTAATAAATGTCGAGTATATGGGAAAAAAGGGGTCTTGTCCAAATAGTTTCTTGAGTTCTGTAATGGAATTTGCAATAAGAAATTCCAATGTTGTACAGTAACCCTTATGATGTTGCCTTTGAATGATGATTGCCATGTTTATACGATTGATTTCACGAAATGTGCAGCCAGATGGGGATAACATTTACTTTCTTAAGAGGTTTTCCCTTCAAGAAGCTCCATTTGTTCGGAAGTACTTCAAACGTTTTATTTTCCACCTCTTTTTTGTTTTTAAAGTTAGTTTTTCTGACTGTTCTGGTTTTAAGCAACTGAACAGCTGATTTTGCTTTTGCCACCTGATTTTTGTACGGAGTTAAGTTGGTTGCGCCTTACCATATCGCGAAATGAGGACGAATTCTTAATACAACTATAAACTCTCGAATTAATTTGCACTGTTGACAGCTTTTTACATTAAATTCATTTGCAAATTTTGTAATAGATAGATACCTAATAGATAATGACTGATGATTAGATAGGGTGATTACATGGTCATCGGTAAACCTCTATTTAAAGTTTCAGTAAATAAATAGTTTCGCAACTTTTCAATGATTATATGTACATAGAGGGTCCATATATACTGGGAAGCAATAAGCTTTCTGTTTATGTCTGAGTGAGGGAATGTGCACTCAAGTGTAGCAAATTTCTATAGTAATAGAAACGTAATATGTGGTTCCGCTGACGTCATCTCTATGGAGGGTCTAACAGGTTTCAGTACTACGAACCTTAAGACCATTTCCATATTAGGTTACACGTTTACACGTGTAAGCCACAGCCTTAGCCTTGATTAAACCTCATTATGACTTTGTTTACGGCACTTAAATAAACGCCCTGACCTTCAGGCCCAAAGTTATATTGATAAAATATAACTTTCTTTTATGATAGCTTTTAATTATAATATTTTGTTCAACGTCCTTGCGAAGGCAGGAAGCTTTAATCTGGTGCAGAGACTCCACTCGATGGCACAGCAGGCCACTCTTTCACTGAGAAGCGCTTGAAAGCCCCTGCGGTGTGTGCTATTAAATGGTGATGGGAGTACAGGTGGGATAATCAGGGGTCTGGCCTGTGTTTGGGCATACAAATTCTACTTTAAAAGGCCATCAGTTTCCCAACCTTGACCTTAGGCATTGGGAACTAGGCTGTAGATTAGGCGCTAGTAGGTTGTATTAATTATATATCCAATCCCCAACTCCCATACATCATAATAAAAAGGGTTATTCAAAAAACTTGACATTTTCAAGGCCATTTCCCTGGTGCACGCCCCAAAAAACTTTTAACATAATTCCCACGCGCCTGCCAGTCCGTTCCACATTTTCCACATTACTTTTTCCTGTTTTATACGAGTGTATTTATCCATTTACAGCCGTCGAAAGCGATAATGAAACAATTAAATTGGCAATAAATGAAAGTGTTTACAGGGGGAGGGGGATAGAGGGGTTTCAAGGGTGGGCTATATGTCATAAGACCATTTTGTATGTGTGCTTTCCGCAGTAGATATGTATTTATTCGACAGCCGCCTTTAAAGCGCTTTAAATATTCACCAGACTGTAAAATCTGTATATTCGGATGGCCCCCTGGGCTTCAAGGGGAGGGAGCGGTAGAGCGGCAGCAGAGCGGTAGGCGCCTCTAGAGTGAGAGCGAACGGACGGGGGGACGAAGTAGGTGCTTGGAGAGAGCGAGAGCTTGCTCTCTTCGCGTCAATTGAGTGTAGAAATGTGCGTCATTGAACAACTGACTGCCGTAACGTTTCACTCGCTCTCCACTGCTCTCTCCTGGTGTATGTTTTGTGCTCTCTTGCTGAAAGTAAGTCTCCACTTGGTCGTGTTCGTGTCTGTGTGTGGGAGACCGAACCCGGACACGGACCCGCTTTTGGGCGGCCTGTCGACGTGTGGAAGCTCCCTCTCGCAGCATTCGACAGAAAAACATGAAACAGTGCTCATCGTGGAGCTTCAGAAGTCTGCTCCTCAGTGTTGAAATCGATCAACGTCTTAGAATTGACACCTGTCGATATCTAATCGAGATCTTCTCACGCCGCATTACGGGCGATTAAAGGTAATATCAAACAGCCGCAGTGTCTCGTTTAAGAAGTGCTTAGAGTAAGTCTCCACTAGCCCAGAGAGAGAGAGAGAGATTCTGGAAGTACAGGCCGCGTCGGCGATTGGCGCCCTTCACTCAGTCGATAGCAATGAAACAGTGCATATCGCGCAGCTTTAACTGTAATCTGCTCAGTGTGGTAATCGATCAGCGACTCAGAATTGACACCTGTCGATATCTAATCGAGATACTATCGCGCCGCATCTCTGGCGATCTACGGTAAAACCGCAACTAATTTCTGAAGTGTCGTCATAAGCCAGCCCCCCCTTCAACAATCGGGCAGTACCTATATATAATCATATACAAATATATGTATGTACGTAGTCTGTGTGATTTTTTCATTTTCGCCAAGACGCAAAAACACAAAAAATACTCTCGGTTCGCTCATTGCATAAGTCACGAAAGTAAGAAGGAATCAAGGCTGGCAAGCAGGCAGGCAAGAGAGGATGCCAAAATAAATGGCACCATCAACAAAAGTCTTCCAATCTGTTTCTGTCTGTTGTTTATCGTGTCATGAGGTGTATCTTCCTTCTAAAGAATATAGTCATATGCTCACAAGTGAAAGTAGCTTTTTTTCCTCTTGGGTTTGCAATTGTATCAACAATCGAAAGGTGCTGTTGCTGGCTGGCTGGCTGGCTGGCTAAAAGAAATGTGTTAATTAGTTCCACGCGTCTAAGAACCGATTCGATAAGTAATCTATAATGGTTTCCATTCGCAAGTATTTTCCCTGGTAACAATTGTTGCCTGAGGCCAAAAAATTCAATGGAATTGTTTGTCTAATACCAAAATAAACAAAACGGCTAGCAGCCAGACATCCCACCTATAAAAAAAGTTCAATATTTGCTCGAAGAATTATCAAATGTTTTATATATATCCATCCACTCATACAGGCACAGTGTTCGGTCTTTATTTTTGTGGACCATTTTTATACATATGTTTTTCAAGAACAAAAACACATTTAAATAATGTAAATCTTTTGTGGAACGGAGACGACATTTTCGTTGACTTTGGCTTTGTCTCGGTTCGCTTTTAGGGAATATATTTGCTCAAAAAGATTTTCCTTTACGACAGCCAACGACCTACTTATTAAAATTCACATAAATATGAAGAAAGTATACATCGGGAATATTATATTCCTTGAATTTTTCTGTTGAAAAAAACTTGAAAACCGGGAACGTACAAATAAATTATCACGGAAGGGACTATTTATAAAACTTTCAGAATATGATAGCTGTTTTTTTTCTCAGGGGCTATGATAAATATTATGGTTTGGAGAATATTTATGGTGGTATTAAATATCTACTACTTAAGTGACATTTTCTGAGCTTAGAGTCGCGAGAATTTTACTAGAATTGCAAAAATGGTCTATAATTAAATTGAGAATAAAGCCTGATCGATCACCCATAGCTGATTAAGCTTTAAAATTCTATATTATTTCTCTTGCGAGTAGCCGAACCCATTTTGAGGCTATAAAACCGATTGGTTTTAAGGTCAGACCTTCATTAAAACCTAAGCAGGACCTTAAGTATTCCTTCATTGAAAATCTATACATAACTATCTTCAGAACCTTCTTAAACACAATTTTAATATAAGTATTCAATCATCTTTTGCAGTTGGTTAGACCTGTTCCCACATCTATGGAGTTTCATCTAGACAGTGCAGAATACTGCCAGGCACAGCACAAATAAAAAGTAAGTATAAGGTTCCTATAGAGCACATGATCCAGAAATTTCCACTTCTGATGGAAAATTAATTGGCTAAATGAACAGAGTAGCCTCCGGGCAGTGCGTGTGCCGTGGGTGGGTGGTTCTTTGGAAAGACTAAGGTCAACTGGCTTTAACAGGGAATTAAGTGCGGTTGACCTTTATGGCCAATTTATTGCTCTTGCCGCTGCCGTTGCCACTGCCAATGCCGCTGCCTGCCGCCTGCCGCCTGCCGCCTGAAAGAACTGTACAGAATGGATAATGGAGGAAGAATGGCAGAGCGCGCGCGTGTTCCAGAGATATTTTGCAAGAGTATAGAGTCTCTATAGAGTCGCTCCTCAATTATTCCATTGCGTGTAATTGAACTAAATTGCTTTTTCGTCTTCAATTAATGGGAATAATACGAGAGTATTGCTCCAACCAGTAAGGGTGCAGCTTTGGGCGATTTAAACCAGATTTTTCTGGGGACCAGCCTTTGCTGTATTCGATGCTTACTAAAGAATTCTTATTCATTCTTTCGTTTGTAGGTAATCAAACCTCAAGCAAGGCGGTGATAGCCTGAGTGAACACCGGTCACCGGTCTGTCTCTTCGGAAGTGTCGACGCGTCGATAACTTGTGTGTGTGGATCATATCAGCGGATCAGCAGATCGGCTGGATATAGGATATATAGCGGCAGCAGCAGCAGCAACAGCGGGCCAACACATTGTCTGTCTGGTCTCTCACTCCGGTCGTCAATCTATGAGAGCGAGAGAAGGAGAGGGAGAGAGAGAGAGAGCGGAAGCAGCAAAATCTACACCCCCTTACATTTTTTAGCATCGCAGCATCGTCTTCATATCATCGCTGAAAAGGAAATCTTATTATTGTAACATCGAAAACTGAAAAACACGTTGTTAAATCCGAGAGATAAACTGAAAAACTAACAGGGATTTAATTCACGGAAATTTTCATACCATTTTCTTTGTGATAGAAGAAAAAAAAAATCTACAATTCGTACTTAAATTAATTTTAAAAAAAGATCACCTATAATTTGTACTTGGAAAATTTTACTCTAGTTTTGTGTGTTTTTTGGTGTAGAACGATACAAAAAAGGAAGAGAAGAGAGCTAATTATATTTAAATTTATTTTTTATACACTAAACGAAACATCAATTGTAGCATCTAAATACGCTGAATTTTTAAAACTAGGAATCAAGAAAACTTCCCCTCTAAGAACTCAAATTGTAAAAGAAACAAATCACGCAAAAACTTTTCATTTCTAAGTGGGAAAAACACCACAGTTAGGACTGCTCTTTTTTCCTATAATTTACTGTTTATATGAGCATCACTATGCGTCAAAAAGATCTACGCCCAGCCCCGGCTCTAATAGAGTACAAGGGCATGAAGTTCCTAATCACCGATCGACCATCAGACATAACAATTAATCATTACATTATGGTGAGTGGATTTACAACAAGAGGTGGGCATGGATGTGATCAAAAAAGACTGCAATAGAATGGTGTTGAATGAATGGTGTTCTATACCATTTTTGAATGCCTTCCTGCCCCGATCCCTACCCCAAAACCTATTCCTAAGGCATACCCCCACTAATTGATCTTCTTTTTTTTGGTATATAGGAACTTAAGAAGAACAATGTCAACACTGTGGTGCGTGTTTGTGAGCCAAGCTATAACACAGTGGAGCTGGAGGCGCAGGGCATCAATGTCAAGGATCTGGCCTTTGAGGATGGCACCTTCCCGCCACAAACAGTCGTTGACGAGTGGTTTGAGGTCTTGAAGGATAAGTAAGTAAACGCTATACCAAATATGGATCTCTTGTTAGTCACCTAGTTTATATATATTTTTGATTTTTCATCATTAAGCATAAGACATTTTAAATATTGTTTACATTTATGTAATGGAGTTATGGAACTATGATTCTATATTGTATAAATTTGGAATAGAATATGTACATCGTAGACCACACCATATTCATCGAATGTAAAGCCCTAAAGAACCTTCTCTCCAGATCCAACGAAGTGATTGTATAGTGTATAGTTCTTTTATATTTTAGAGTGTATAAATGTAGTAAAATCATTCAATTTCAGTTCATATTCTTATAGAACTCAATTAGAAATACATTCTAAGTCATTCTGATGTCTTGAAGAAAATTTACCACAGATCTAGATCATTCTTGATCAATTTCTTGGCGTGTAATGTATACGAAATCAATATAGTATAGATCCATTATAGATTGTCTATCAATTGCCATAAAATTAAGATCATTTATAGGTTTTGCATAGATTATAGATCAATTTCTGAGTGAAGACTGTGTACAAAAACCATTTACTATAGGCAGATCGATAGATCAGACATGGAATTCTCATAATTGATGTATCTTAGAGGCAAAATTGGTAGCTTTTCGATAGCCTGGGAGCTGTAGGGCCATGGCAGGTGCCCACGAATTTTTTTAGGGTCATAGTAAGAGAACCTCCTGCGACTATTGCACTACGGGATGCGAATTTGTATGAGACCGTCTTAAAGGCATTGATCGACATGTTAACGAGCATATTCGGAGATATGCGAGTAAATTCAGGTCTAAAGGTTGAAATCGGTTTTGGAAATTGATTTGTAGGATTATAGGTTTGTAAAGCAGACTGTATGCAGCACCGTATTTTATAGATATTTTGTTTATTATGGATCATTATAAAGAAACCATTAAATCGTAATCCCGAATCACAGATCTAGTTCCGCGTAGCTCCATTACTAATCATAGCTTAAAGTCATAATTATAGTGTATTATTTATATCATAGATCATTCGTTCAAAGTGTACGCGATAGAAAATACCTCAAGCGATCTTTATCAATTTATTCAGTATTATTTGTTGCTTTGAAAATCAAAAGAAGACTAAATTCCATTTTAAATAAAAATCAAAATCAAAATGAAAAATCTTTATGCTGCGCTAGCCAAACAAAATATCAAAAAAACAAACAAAAAAGCTGTCATAAAATCGAATAAAAGATGCAAAATAATCAAAGAAATATATATGTACGATAAAAACCCGCTTGTAGCGCCCCCACCCCATGCTGTCCGGCTTAGCTCTCCACCGATTTATGATTTCTATTAGAACTCTTTTTATGATTTGCCTGTACAGATTTTGTGTTTGAAACCACTTGTAATTTTATCCCAACAAAACTATCTGAACATTCCTATCATGTTTTCTTGATACTTTTTTTTCGGTTGTATCTCTCCATTTTTCACTTGATCTATTTTGAACCTCTTTAATCTATCGAATCTATTACCAAATGTGAACTTACGTTACTACCTTCCTTCCTTGTGTGTGCTATATTTGATTGATACAATTAACGCTGCCGCCTGTGCCCCAAAAATAGTTTTAGACAGTCCAACACCACAAGCGCCACACTATCCTACTACAAACATAAGCGTTTCTCGCTCAGACACATACCAAAAACAGTTCCACCAGAAACAACAGCAACCGCTACGGCCACTACTTCAACAATCAGGCATTCGGCAACCAGAGCCAGCCTCTCGTCCTCCGTCGCGGCGGCATCAGGTCGGAATATCACAGATACCGATACCATTCCCCTAACAACAGCCTATGACAATCTCAATCTCAATGATAATACCGGCAATGATAATGAGGCAGCATCATCGGCAATTTATAATAATACTGCATTTGTTGATAATGAAACTTGTCGGTAAGCCGTAGTCCTTAGACATAGAGACCCAAAATCAAAACCAAGTTTTAGCTAAGCGAATAATCAGTTTTTCAAATATCCTAATCTATGTAACGTATGTGTTTAGGAATCTGTTAGAACTCTCTGTATAAATGTCACTATAATGATTTTTACTTTTGTTTCGTTCTTTAGATATCGACAAACTCCAGAGGCCTGTGTGGCCGTTCATTGTGTGGCTGGTCTGGGACGAGCTCCTGTTTTGGTGGCCCTGGCACTGATCGAATTAGGCTTGAAATATGAGGCAGCTGTGGAAATGATTAGAGAGTGAGTACCATAGCCTTACTCTATAAAGAATAAACCCAACTAAAGTTCAAATTCTATCTTTCAGTAAACGACGTGGCGCCATCAATGCCAAGCAGCTCTCGTATTTGGAGAAATACAAGCCCAAGGCGCGTTTAAAGCACAAAAATGGCCATAAGAATTCATGTTCTGTGCAATAGATTTCCAAACACCATATGTATATTCCCACCAGATAAAAAGTGTTCATTTTTTCAAAAAAAAAAAAACAAAAAAAAGGAGAAGAAGAAAACGAAAGTAAAAGTAAAGAAAATGCGGATTGAAAGGAATTAAAACAAAAAGAGAGAATCACCCAGAAACACCACACAAATCCTATAGACGAACAAATTGAATCACAGCCCATCCCCAGCCCCCCAGTAATTAATATAAAAAATCTCAAATTTAATAATGTATTGGCATCCAATTGTAATTTTTTGTATGTATTATTTAATGTAATTTATTGTTATTTTATGATTTCCGAAACCCCCACAAAAACCAATGCTAAAAGAAATTTCGATTCACGATACCATATTCACAGACATTGTAATTATATAGATGATGTTTAGGGCCCCGAATACCCCATAAAATGGTTGTAGAAATGGGCCACCCTCCCACGAAACGTAGTTTACATTTACATATTATTCTGGAAACAAAAGAAAAACAAAATAAGCTACTACTCTGGAATAAACAGAAATACGAGCAAAAGAGAACACCCAGAATGTGGAACAGTAGAGGTATCCATCCTTTAGACCCAAATTAAACACATAAAACAAACAAGTGTAGAGTGAACAAAAATATAGATACTATATATACAGATATATATATATATATATAAACCAATTATACGGAGCGGCAGACATAGACAGAATTTAGACACCACGAAAAATGTACTTAATGCGGTATTTAGTTGTGAAATTTTGGATACTTTCGATATGGTTTTTTTATGCTTACACTCTCTTCTTTAGCTGCTATCAACGAACGGAATTATATGTCTAAATACTTGATTTTCTACTTGCATTATACAATTACATATATATTATATATGCCAATCCCCTCTTTTATATATATAGTACATATGCTAAGCCCCTCCCCTACCCCGTTGCCACTGAGAGCATCAAGGAATATACATATATAGTATATATATTTGTATAATAAAACTACAAATTTTTACATTAATGACTTACATACATTCAGAGAAAAAAATAGAAAATACTTCAAATAATTTGCAGCAAATAAAAACACTCGAACAAGAACAAAACACCAAACAAAAACACTAAATAAAAAATTGAGAAAATGAACATGAAAAAAAAATTACAAATAATTAAACCTTATTATTAAAAAATAAAAAATTAACAAATTATAGTGTGTGAGATGTGACGAAGATGAAAATAAATTTAAAAGAAAAGAAACAAAAAAAAACAAAAGCCGAAAGTAAAAACAAATATAAAGCTTACAAATTAATTTATCTAAAATATTGAATTGTAATTTTTTAAAATGTTAGTCATTACAAGGAAATAAAAGCGATATATATTAAAATTAAAACAAAATCAATTGTGCGATGTTCAATCAGGGATGGGATGCAGAGGCATCAAGGCGTGGCACGTCCAGATCGAACAATAAATGGCAGCGTTTTGCTGCTATTACCAAATGACTCAACTTTTATTGTATGGGTAAGGACGTCAGGGACGGCACGGCAAATAATGGAGAAAATATAATTGATCCTTGATTAGGACTCCATCAAATCAGGGACATTTTTGTTGTGAATCAGTGCCACTAAAAAATTTATTTCTTAAAGAAAGTCCATAACAAACAAAAAAAGATTTTAAACAAAAAATATAACATTAAAAATGGTATAAAACTTTAAGTTTAATTTGTTATATCTTTAGGTATAGCCATTATATCGACACGATTAAAAAATCTTGTGAAAGATCGTTCAATTCTCTTTTCAAATCATTAATTGTGGATATGGATGCTGCAAAGGCCGAGTAAAAAAACTTATAAAACTCACCAAAGAGCAGTTAATGAATTTTTAAAAAAGATTTTTTATTGCTTGAGGATGCGGTCTACAGGCCTCCAAACTAATTTTTTCGTCGTGCCAAGTACAAAATGATTTTCCCATAGTTTAATTAATTTTAAGCACTTTATCCCATAGTATATTTCTATATTTATATTGTCATTTCACAGACAACTTGATGGAATTATTTTGATTATGTATATGGCATGTTATGCCAATCACATTACCCGAGGATCTGAATGTATAGCTGTCAAAATCTTGTAATATGTTCTATTGCATTATTTTTTCAGTTGTTCATCACACTCCGATAAGCACACATCAAACAAATTTTGTTTAGTTTCCGGCTTCTGTTTGTTTTCTGGTAACTACTTTAACTTTTCTGATAACATCAATAGAGTTCAACATTTTTTGTTTATATATTTTCCAGAAATTTTACGGATCAAAAATGTGTAGCCCTTGTGGATCGTGCTGCAGTCCCTGCTGCGGTCCGTGCTGCGGTCCTTGCTGCGGTCCGTGCTGCGGTCCTTGCTGCGGTCCGTGCAGCGGTCCTTGCTGTGGACCCTGCTGTGGACCCTGCTGTGATCCGTGCTGTGGACCCTGCTATGGACCCAATGTCTGCGGACCGTGCGGTGCAACGGGACCCTGTACAGGCTGTTGTGGAGGCTGTTGCTGAGCAATAGGAATTGCAAACGACAGGGTCTAAACCTCCATCACAAGTCCGACGAAACCTACAGAAAGCTTGAAGCTATCGTGTAGTCTCTACGAATAAAGCATTTACTAAAACAAAAATTTCACTAATCACTAATCGGCTTCGTTATATAGTAAACTATCAATCTTGCCGGAGCTATAGCTATATGCCACAGGGAACAGTCGGGAGCAGTCTCCCTATTAGGAGGAGGACGCAAAAAAGCGGAGCTCTAAAAATCGAATACAAAATACAGGTACAAATGCAGAATCCTTAATTTCCTTGAAGTCAAAGTGATTGAAAACGATCAGCCTAGATCGATAGCTGTATAGTCGAGATGTATCGTCCCAAAAAAAAGCAGTAATTAAATATATTCCACAGGCAAAACTTGGCGAGTCTATATCTCGGCTAAGTAGGGCCAGATCGGCTGAGAACATATTCCTAGGATCGTAAGAATCCAAACTGTCGTTCTGCATCAAAATCTCACGCAAGCCACGCTGCCCAGACCGGCCTCCACATAGCCGAAATATAGCCAGAGAAAAAATGCGAATTAAATCAGACGTCATGAGCGAAAACACTCGGTATTAGGCGAACAGAAATCAGCAAAAGATCGCTAGTTTTTCTTTGTTGGTTGTACAGTGGCGGCTCATCCGGTGATTTTTTGCAGTTTCTTTATCGACAGCCACAGCTGCAACTAAATGCATAACGCCTTTTTAAAATTGTAAACCGATTTTGATGTCAATCGCTGTAACTCTCCCATTTGTTGTCCGATCTTGGCGTTTCGCGAATCCTTTTGATCGGGCGAATGTCCCGGATTGTTTGGATTCAGATTTGCATCAAGGACAATAAGGATATTGACTGTTAATCGTTGTATATTACTCCCGGCCTGTACTCGCCCTGTGCGACCAATCCTACAGTCGAAGTCCATCGCTTTACTCCACAAGGACCTCTACTGTTGATATAATCCTTGAAATATACGATATATTAAGTGCAAATAGGGCAAAGACTGCGGGATTAACTCTTTTATACCGCTGTTAAAAAAACTATCTTATTAAAAATAGACTATTTTCCAATGAAGAGCTAAGCCAATATAATTATATTTTATATATATGTATTTATTTACATATGTATTTGTTTTTGATATATTAAAACCCGATCAACATCAATTTGCATTAATTAGACCACGAATAAGACATACCACATACATATCAAGATATCACAATGGATATTCCTTGTTTTTCTTTCTTTGTGCTCGGTAGATGGTAACTTTATGATAAGGTAGATGTCGTAGTCTCGGCGGAACGTCGTGAAGATCGTTTTTTCCAGATGCTTTTGGCGCTTGTTTGGGGACTGTTTGATGAATCTTCAACGCGTTACCAAGATCGTTGCTGGTGTCCTTGCTCTGTGTTATATTTTTATGGATGGGTTTCGTATTTGTGTCGATTTCTGTGAGTGTTCTGCCTTTGTTGGGTTTCTGCTCCAATTCCCCTTTGTCGGTATTATTAAGGACTTTATTGTCGGTATTATTCTGAATAGTGTGGCTGGGGTTTGTATCGGTTTCTGTGTGGGTTTTGCTCTTGATGGGCTCCTGATCCAACTCCTCCTTATTTTGGGTATTGTTGAAGGTCTCGTTGTGGGTATTGTTAAGAATCTGGTCGGTATTATTGCTATTCTTATTGGTTATATTATTTTGGTCCTTGGTGTCCGTTACGTCCTCAGTCCGGCTGCAAAATATTTCAATGTTAAATATTTTGTTATAAAAAGAATCGATTTCACTGTGACTGGACTAGAAATTGTGTCTTGACTTATGATTATCTCGTTGGATAAAGGGATTGATAAACTAAAGGTGTACAGCGTGTGGTGGTCTATTACTTTATGCATCCTTTCGGAAACGGAGGGTTTCCTACAGCTGCTATAATTCTTTATAGAAAACTGTTAATTGGAGTTTATTGGATATATATTGACCTTTTATATTTTTTATTTTTGCTGCTGTTCCATCTCGAATCTCTTTTTCTTTCTTTTTCCGCCTTTCTGGATTTCATAGTGATTCTATCCAAGAGTTTGGTTAAATTATGCATTCTGTTGAAGATAACATAAGTATCTATTGAAAGTATTACAAGAATTTTAGGTATATGATGGCTTTACCTTTCATTTTGTTCTTTTCTAAAGGAATAAAAGTCGGTATTTAAGATATTTAAGGACCTTGCCAATTGCTGAATTGCTGCCACATTGCCTGAGTTTGATTCTCGCTTTTGATATCTTGGTCTATTGCCTTTGTATGAACGCGTTCTGGCAGCTGGTTCTATCGCCAAGGAGCCATCGCCCGAGGAATTGGTTGAATTTTTTGCCACACTACGAAGGTTTAAGTTTTCGCCAGTTTTATCGGATTCGTCACTGCTCTGATATGAATTTTCCAATGAATACTCGCGTATTATGGTTCGATAGTGCTTAGGTTTCACACGATCGTGCATATGACTCTCCAGATCAATTCTCCTGCGGTGTTTTCTTAGCTCCCGTGCCAAACGGATGGAGGCGTAAGGGCTCTTGTGACGATACCAAGAGAAATTTATATGGAATAAAAAAGTCGTGTCTATTAAAATGATACAATATTTTCTGGTTTCAATTTCGGATTTGCCAAACTTCTGATGTCATACTTTGATGCGAAACATACAAAATTATCCGGTTACCAATTAGTTATGGCCTTAATTCATTTACACTTGGATTATGTACAAGTTTAGCACAATTTATCCATCAGAAAATATAATATTTCATAATATTTCACCTACTTGTTGATCACATCGAATAGCCACTAAATTGATTAATAACAAAATCAGAGAATATAAACTATTCATTTTGTGGTGGAAATATGCGAGCTCTTCTGGGATCCGAACAGAGTGGTTGCGTGTTACCGAAAGACTGTGGAACATTCCAGAGTTGGATATTTTATTTCGCTTCGAAACCGATGATAATATGGTTAGACGATAATCTTTTCCGATTTAATGCATGGAAAAATGAAGTATTGTTAAGCAAGTGTGAAATTTAAGAGCTGAGGGGATCAATATAATTTTGGATAGTAGGGATCGTTCAGTTCTAGACTTTAGATGCAATTAAGAATAATTCGTAGTACTTTCGAAGCCACAGCCTTACATATCGTGAAAGTTATAGTTCTTATAGGAAAATATCATTAAAGGATAGATCTCAGTAAATTCAAACCCTCAGTGTTCCATATGCAAATAAATAAATAAATTAAAATTATAATTCAATGTACTTACCCATATATTTGAATTTTGAATGTAATGAACAGATCTTCAATAATGTGTCCTAAAAATAGATGTATTAAATAAATTAATATAAATTATAATATAAGTTGTACAAAAAACTGAAAATAAAAGAAAACTGTCAATTGATTCTGTGTTTAACGATGTTTCTCTTTATTTTTGCATATATAAATAAATATATTGGTAGTTACAACTAATAACTTTTACATTTTCTGTTTTGCATTCGGTTTTTTGTTTTGTTTTAATAGTATTTCCGTTTTATCTGTTGGAGCACACACTCCCGACCGAGACGACTCTTTTTCGTATTACAATTTAACATCAACCCGCGTACAATTTTCAGAAATCAAATGTATAATAGTTCTTGATTTAAATCAATACTTTTGCAGCTCAAATTAAGGATCATAGTCATTTCCGTTTTTGAGGTACAGTCGGTAACTGTTCGTGTGTGTGTCTCGATAACATGTGTGTGTGTGTTCTAGGATAACCGACAGTTAGTGAGTGCGCCATGCTGCTAATCCATTAAACTTCTGCCTTAACAAATCTATTAAGCAACGCTGAGTATTTCGCACTCTGTTTTTGCAAGCTATGCTTTTTTTGTATACATTCCGCATAGCCAAACGAGTGCCAGGGACCCATGACAGGTGATAGGACTAGAAAAATAATAGTTTCTCATTACAGTTCTTCAATTTGTGTATTTTGTTTGCGTATGGCAGTGCGCAAAGCACCGAAAGTATATATAGAGTACACGATTCAAAGCGATAGGTTTTTGTGATATATATAAGGTTTTTTGGTTGTGTGGTGGAGGGGGAAAAGCAAAAACGTAAACTACATATGCGTGTAAAAAAATATATGTACCTCTTTGCTTAACACCACATTTCCAACATACAGATTGATTTGATTTAATTTGATCTCTCTCTTTTCCATTTGCATCACCTTCCTTTCGTTCTTTTCTTATATACAAGTTTTGCACCATACGAAATACATCCATATCCGCATTAAACCATTCATTAAATAACTAAATGTATGATATAATTATGCTCTCGTTCCGGTTAGGTGGTAAACGCAGGGGAAAATAAATACAAAATTGGCAAAAGTTCAAGTAAAAATAAAAAATATATATAGCTGCTTTGGAAATCGGTTTTAGACGAAAAACAACTGGCCATCGTTTGGTTTGTTTGTAAATTGAAGCAAAACAACATCATCGTAATAATATGCGAAGTACTTGATTAATAACTACTAAATTTAAACACATTCTCATCTTATATATGTATATACAAATCACAGCTACAAACACTAAATCCTTATCTCCTTCTTCTTGCTCCAGTGTTTCATTAGGTGGCGATGACAGGCATTGGGGGAGGGCACTGCTGCTACTTGAGAACAATCGGTTCTCAGACTCCAACAAAAGATCGTTTTCGCGTTGTGCTTTAACAAAAAAAAACTAATGCTAAACTCGCGCTTTCGTTTCGTAAAAGTAAACACTATAGTCCAGAGCAAGTTTAAAACTAAAAGGTAGAGGACAATCATCTGATAATCGTATTCGTTCTACAGCCACCCGCCCTTGCGGCCAAACAGCAAGGAACTAACTGAACCGACAAACGCCTGTGTAATGGTCTGCGGTGCTGCCTCCTCCTCCTCTGCCCTGGCCGCCGCCGCTTCCCTTCTGGCCGCCACCCTCGACGCGGACGTCTTGCTGGCGCCGCTGCTGTCTGCCACTCTGCCCAAATCGGGACGCACTCTGCCTCCACCGCCGCCACCAATGGTGCCCAGATCGGGCCTCTGGTTGGCCATGCCGTTCTTCAGCTGTCGGCGCGACTTCTGGCGCTGCATTTGCTTCACTCGCGTCTCGCTGGATGTGCTGGTGGAGGGTGCTGTTCCTCCCGTCGAGCAACTCGCTCCGTCCGTCTGTTGCGCAGCCGCAGCCGCTTTCGTTGTTGTCGATGTGTCCTTGGGCCTAATCTTCATCATCAGACCCTGATCGTCGCTGTCATCGCTGTTGTAGGCGCTGGTGCTGCTGCTCGCCGTCGTTGCAGCTATCGCTGCTGCTGCTGATGATGTGGGAGTGGGTGACTTTAATCCACGATGCAGGACACCCTTAATCTGCGCCCGATCGAAGTGTATATCATCCACGATGCTATTGCTGCTCGTGTGGAGACTCTGGAGGCTGCCGCTGCTCATCGGCGAGCTGCTGCGATTCGCAATGCCCGCTCCGAGTCCACGCTGTGCGCTGATTATGTTCTCCAGTCCAATGCTCTCCACCTTCTCGATCAGATTCAGTGATCTAAGGGCGCGCCTCTCCAGATGCGACAGCATGATCTTCTGCTGCTGCTGCTTGCTGAGGCTGCTCCTGTGCTGCTGCGGCTGATCCCCCACAATCTTGCGGCGTATCAGATCCGCTCCCGACGAAAGCAGGCCGAAGAGTGGCTCGGGGGACTGGCAGCGCGGTGGCGAACCCTCCGGACTGTTGCAGGGCGTCACTGTGGGCGAGAAGTTGGGACCGGCGGGCGTATTCAAGGCGCTGGGCGTCACTGCCTTGATGCCCCGCTCGTTGAGCATTCCGGCCAGACCGAGGTTCACCGAGAACGTGGAGCAGGAGTTCTTGCGCGAGAGTCCAGCACGGGGTGTGGCGGGACAACTAAAGAAAATTAAACAAAAGCATTAGAATGGGGGATCTCTCGGCAATCCAGGCATCCCCGGAGACTGGGATCACCGCTTACCTTGGCTGTCTTGATGTCGATGTGGAGGCCATGCGCGAGGACATCTGCGATTGCGACAAGAACGACAGGTCGTTAACGAAACCATCATCCGGATGCATAACCACGCTCGTCGTGTACGTGAACGTGGAACCGGCCGCTTCAAACTGCTTGCCCGGCAGCTCCTCGCTGACATCCTCCTCGACGTCGGACAGCGTGTAGATCTGCATGCCCAGATCTTCCAGGTCCCGCCCTCCACGAATGGTGACACCCGGACGTTCGTCCAGCAGGCCACTGAGCGTGGGCGTGGCCAGGCGCGACCAATGATGCAGGGTTTGGGAGCCCTCCATCGGTTTAATGATCTGCAGTTTCTCTGGAAGACGCCACTGATGCGTCATGGAGGCGGACATATTGTTGGAGGAGGCACTCATTCGTGACGATCCCGTCGACATGATGCTATCGGGAGTGCGAACGCCCAGCGGTAGGTTCGAATTCGAGGCACCCGCCCCGCCATGCATCGTGGGCTCATCGTAGTTGTAGGTGCCGATCGGAGCGTAGGAGAGCATGGCGCGTCTAGCCAGAACCTCACCGGGCGTCAGACGCTTGAGGGCCGCCTCCAGTTCCCTGGCGCCGGGGGCTCCTGGCACACCAGAGGGCTGGGCTGGATAACCGTCATCGGACTGGGAGTTGAGGCTCTCGTTGCTGAGAGTTTTAACGCCCAACGACTGATTGCCACCGCCGCGATAGTACGAGCCCGCTGGATACGCCATGGAGGCCATGCGCGGACCGGAGGAGCTGCTCATTGACATGGCGCCCAGGGTGGTCATCGACACATTGCCGCTGTCCATGTAGTTGCCGCTCTTGCCGGCACACCGGACCGTGTCAAAGACGCGTTTGTAGGGCGGCACCACACCCGAACCGGCATAAATACTGCCACCACCGACACCGGACGAACCCATGCCGCCGGGCATATGCATCATCATGCGGCTTATGCGATCCGTCCGCTGGCTATCCCCGGAGATGCCCGAGTCCAGACTGTTCTCCGAATACAGCGACGAATTCATCAGCTCGCTTTTCAGGGAATCCGGCATCAGCATGCCACCGCCCGCTCCACTCGTTCCCATTCCACCCAGGAACGAGCTCCTCGCCTGCGGCTGGGATCGCTTGCGCTGCTGCTTCAGCTGGTCCTGGGCCGAGTGCAGTAGGGCCAGTACCTCCTCGTAGCGCTGCTTGAACTCCACCAGCTCCAGGGCGAGGGCATTCTGGTTCTCCTTCGTCACGTGCAGCAGCGACAGATGCTCGTCGTTGTCCTGCGTCAGCTGATGCAGCCGCATCTCGGCCTCGGCCAGACGGGCCGTCAGACTCACAATCTGCTCATGCTGCAGGCGATTCTCCTCGCGCTGCCTCTCGCACTCGAGACTGAGGTTGTCGTACTGCGAGTTGGCGTCGTGCAGCTGCGCCCCGATGTCGGCCATCAGCTGGCGTTCGTGCTCCTCCACTTCGTCGGTCTGATGGGCCAGCTGTGTGGCCTCGCACTTGAGGGATTTGTTCTCGTCAAGCAGACTGTTCACCTTTCGCTGGAGGAGGTCCAACGTAATGGACTTGGACATGGTGGGGGTTTCTACGGGGGGAAGATACATACATACTGTTACTATACTACTTCCGAGACATTCTCCGAGTGCAAATCCTACCCGTATCTGTACCATCATCTGCGTCGTTGGTCAGCACCGAAATCAGTTCGTTTTTCTTGTGCAGCTCGTGCAGCAGTTGGGAGCGATCATCGTTGGATGATTTGAGATCAGCCTCCAGATCGGTGACACGCGCCTCCAGTGCATTATTCTGTGTGAGCAGCTCCTTGCCAATCTGAACCGTCAGCTCGAGATCCTTCTCCTTCTCTTCCAGCAGACGCGTCACGGCTTCAATGTCATCGTATGCCCGCGTCATCTGGCTAACACGGTTACCGCATAGAACTGGAATATTCAAAAAATAAATGTATGATCTGAGTTCCTTGATCGCCAAAGAATACTAAATATTAATTTTAAAACTCAAACAGAATGTTGTGTGTTGGTCAAGGCCTGCTATATCGTAGCTACAGTGTTGCAAAGCGTTGCTCGCTCACTCTCCTGTCTATCGATCACACACACACACACACACCCTTATGTATAGGTGGCTGTTGTTGCCATGCCCACTAAGAGCGCGCTCTGTTATTATTCTCAAAGAAGAAGCGTTTAACCACCTTCCATTAGCAATTGCTCGTTTTGCTGCTCCAATGTTTCCCCCAGTCCTCCTCCTGCCGATGCACTACCACTCCCCACAGAGAGCTCCAGCTCATCCTCGTACTCAAGTTCATCGTCCATGATGCAAAAGTCGTCGCGTAATTGCGACCAGTCGTTTGTGGTTGCCTCGTTTTGGCATGCCTCAAAGGCAAAGTCTTCCAAGCAGGTTATCGCTGTTGTTGCAGCATCCCCAACAGCATTGGCGCCGCCACAGCTTCCCTCTCTCCTCACACCCTCTTGTCTGGTGCTGCCGCTGCTGCTGCTGCTGCTGGCTAAAAATCGATGCTGTTGATGAACAGTGCTGCTGCCGGCAGCAGCAGGCGCCCTGTTTCTCTCTTGCTCATCTGCCATCTCCACCATCTCCCTTTCAGCGTTTCCTTCGGCATTGTTTACGTGCGTCATGTTCTTTGGTTTTTTTTGTTTCTATTGCGATTGTTCTTTACTTAGTCACAGAGGAAATTGCTGCATTCTTTGCTTAAATTAAGTATCTTAATCGATTGGGATCGGTTTTCTGCTTGATTCCCTTTCTCAGGTTGTGCGAGTATTATGTAATTTTAAAGCATTTTTAGAAATTCTGCCAAGGCACTTTTGTCGCTTGTGTTTGTGTTTTTTGGTGGTGGAGCGCAGGGCAGGGGTTGATTGGTCCCTTTGGTTGTCGTCGTTGTTGTTTTTTCCATCAATTGTGTGTTTTCTTTTCTCCCTTTGTGAGTCACATGCTTTTCATTATTTTTTCGCTTTTTCATTCACACTGATGCTTATAAATGAAAAACATTTAAATTAATTGCTAAATTAATGCGAATTGTAGAGAGTCACAGGAGAAACTGAATAACTGTTATGTCGATGGCGGCGCGCGCTCTCCAGTTCAGTCGCTGCTGTTACGCTCTTTGGCTGTTACGTTACTCTCTTTCTGTAAGCCACCCACTCTTTTCATTTTTTTTTGGGAGTGTGCGCACTAACGCTTCGAGCTCATTAATTTATTATTTTAAGATTTCTACCAAAAACCTCGCTTAACTGGTCAATGTTATCTTTTGTTGCTTGTATTTTTAGCCATGAGCGCAGCTTAGCTCGTTCGTTCTCTGCTCTCAGAGAGGACTTCTTGCTTGGACAGCGCACACACACAAAATGACAGCTGCGACGCCAGCAGCGACTGAGGAGAACCCCGGCAGAGCAGGCAAGGCAGCTGAACAAAAACAACAACGGCAGCAGCAGAGGCCGAGACAGAGACAGTCGCTGCAGCAGCAGCGCAGCATTTGCGGTAAAAGGCGTTTTTCCAGAGTGAAAGGGAAATGAAAATGGCAATGGCATTTGGGAAAACAGTTTTTGGCCAATTCTATGGGAAATTTACGAAACGACTCTGGGACTCACATGTTTCACAAAAAATTATCACTGCTTCTCCCTCACACTCTTTCTCAGGCCTTCCCCGTCCCCGTTTCACTTCACTTCACAACAAAATCTAATTTCCGCCGCAAGGCTGATCGCGGCCTTTCCAGGTCCAAAGGTGAGAGACATTAACCATAAACGTGAATAACTTCGAATCTAGGCAGCAAGAAGAAGACTTAAAGAAGCAAAAGCAACAACAACAAAAAACTACGCTCCAAACTCGTGACGGAGCACACACCAGTGTCACACAAACACACACAGATACACTCGCAAGGGGCCACGGGTGGGTTTTTTTTTCCTTCAGCGTTTTTTGCGTGTTGCGTCGCTCGCTGTGTGTTTGCCTTTTGCTTGCAATTTATCAATTTTGTTTTTTGCTCAAATCATCTTTAATCACACATTCACCTACACAATGGGGTTTCCTATGGCTTTTGCATTGACAATTTTCACAAAATTGTTTTATCTTTTGCGTTTAACCTTTTGCAATTCGCACAAATTGTGTAATTTTACAGATACACGAGAGCGAGTCTGAAAAAAAATCCGATGAGCGTCCGAGCGCGATGTTGACTTCGCTTGGTTCCGACTGCTTTGATTCGGTTCCAAGTTCGCTTGAGTCAGTTTCCGTTCATATGAACTGGCGCTGAGAGTGAATGAATTTGGAATTGTATTGGAATCCGCCTACCCTCCCCACAAATGAGGAATTGAGAGAGAGAGCAAGAGAACGGCTCTCAGACAATGCGTGCCAGCATTGCCAGCATAGATAAAGTTAGAATAGTGCTAACCGAGGGAACTCGACTCAATGATACTACGTAAAACAAATGATATTAGTATTAGGGACAGCAAATTAAACTTTTTCAGTGAAAATTGTTACATAGTTCCTACCCAGCAAAGCATACCTATTTGAAACACGAAACTTTCCATGCAAATGAAGCGGATAAACGCGCAAAACCGTCGCCGATTGTTTGTTTATCTTTGGCCATATATCATGTTTCCCATTTACCAGGTAGAGATGAACGAGCCGACAGCATGATCGTAAAACTTCAACTTAAAACCGGAACCATTTTCCACATAAACCTAATCCCATTCATGAATAGGGCGCGAAAAACTACGTGGGTAATTTTCCGCGTACAAGACCGAGACAAATTTCCACGAAAATTTCCACAAAATCAGGTACGAAGATCTCCCGAGTTTTGCGTGGGATAGTTGGCTGATGGATTAGTGAGGTGAGGAGGTCCAGTACCCGAATTACGATTCTCTCGGACTGCAATTTAAAATTATTGAAGCTCTAGTTACGAGGGATTTTGTGGAACGAAAAGTGTAGCACAGCACGTGCTCGCTGGGGATCATAAACTCGAGAAAACTCAATTAGTTTACGTCTGCGGTTAACAGCTCTTTTTTATATACCCTATATATAAGAACGGATATATGTAATTTGTGATGGCGCATTGTGAGAGACCTGTCGTTGATGATGATGATTATTGCATCCTCTTATATTGAGACCCCAATAAAATGTTTATTATGATGGAAGAATGTTCTTCTTTGAGACCACCAACGGATCTTAGCGAGGTATTGACCAAAGTAGAGAGCAGAGAACTCTAAAGATAGAGAAACATATTAGAAACCTAAACATATAAAAATCTTCGATTTATGGATCCCAAGTATGCTTAATATTTTTAGCATTATTTTAGATCTACACTTACTATAGCTCTCCCTTACATTTCAGCCTCTCAAAGTGGTAAATCATCACCATAAATTATACAGATAACACAGCGCCCCAGAGTTGGCATAAACGTTTGATCTGCTGCCATTAAAGAACCGTAGAAATTGGCACCTATATTACCATATTTAATTACAACACTGTATCCTTATCTAGCCACCTTATCATATTTATTGAATATACCCTCCCTCCACTGCCCATCTAATCTCGAGTGATATAGTATAATTGTTAGATAGCCCTGCGGTAACTGAAAAAAACGATCCTCTAAGGGAACCCCAAGTGCTGGGGCATACTATAAAATCTTTGGAAAGCTTTCAAGCTTTCATTATATTAAGAAAGTAATTAAGTTTAATTGCTTTGCAAGTCATAAACCGACTCATTTAATGGCTCTTCGTTTTTTTTTTGGCAGCTTAACGCTAATAGAACTTCAATGATGGGATTTTCGCAAGAGGGTCAGGTGTTTTGGCTGTAAATTGTCAAACATTTTCCCCTGATTCCAATGCGAAACGATAATGTACCTGGCAAACACTTGATAAGAGGCCAGAAAAAAGCTCCTCTTCTCATCAGACCAAAAACTAAAATTGTTATAAACTTTTGCTGATAAGTCGCTTGGCGACCACAAGATGAGATCATGTGGCCCTCTGTCGTCGCTCAACGAATTTTAATAGTTTTTTTCTAATGAACTTGCTAAAAGCCTAGAAGATTATGGGAGAGAGAAATTCCCTAACAAATTGTACAAATATCAACATTAGACAGACGATATAGGGGCTCTAATGACAGAGCCTCACGATCAATAACAGAAAATGGAAAACAAATACAAAGTCTAAAATAGAAAAAGGCATAAAATGGGCGAAAATATACCGCCGGGCCGGGCCTATGGTTGTCGTGTTTGTCCCCACGTCCACCACAACAGAAAGAAGTCAAACAAATGGCCAAAAGTAAAACAACAAAATCTATTAATTTGGAATACAATAATCGTTTGATAAGATACGCTTTGGGCTAACAAAATAAATGGCTAAAAGGCGACGCATATGCAGGCCTCGCCATTTGCTGCACTTCAGCGATAAGTTAAGCCATCCACAGAAAGTTTCCATCAGAGCTGTGACACATTCCCCCTGGTACTACAGGAAAAGTGAGACCATAATACCAAAATAGGTAGGTCTTATAATATCAAAGATCTTTTGACCGACCAGACAAGATAGCAAGTGGTTTTTAATTTAAAAGACTGGACAACCCCATTGTCTTTCCAGATTGAACATCTATATAAACTTTAAAGTCTCCAGTAAGGGTGTTCCTGAACTGGAATAAACTATTCCCAAGATATACCTTCTATTCGAATGATCTGTAAGCTGTGAGGGGTCTACAAAGATACTCCCTGAATGTACCCTAGTGGCACAGTCTCACTTATCGAAATTGAATCAGTTATCAAATCGTTGCCATTTTCGATTATCTCACAGTCAATTATCCACTAGAGTTGTTTATCTTTTCAAGAGCAGAATTGAGTGCAAATAAATGCAACAATTATCAGGTATAATCGAACCGAAAAAGGCCATACAATTACTGGTAATTATTCTCCTATCCATCTTAGGTCTTACCTTTATTTGTCAACAGGCTGCGCACAACTTTGAGACAGTTTTTGCCATCGACATTCTTGGAGGCATAGTACATGAGCACCCAGGAGCTGGCCGCCTGCAGCAGCTCCGGCGGCAGCTCAAACAGAGGCGCCTCCACGGGACCCGTGATGGGACTCTGTGCTGGTGTCCCCGGAATACTGCTCTTGCTCTCCCCCTTCGCGGCAAAATCATGAAGCAGGGCCAGCAAACGCACAGACACGCAGATCGTGTAATCTGTGGTCTTTGGCCCGGACTTCATTTGCCTCACAATGCAACGCATGCGATCGACTGCCTCCAGTTCGAGTTCCAGTCGCGTGGGCGGCGGGTCCAGTCCATTGACAATCGCCGACATGGAAGAGCAGGAGCTGGAGATGCTGTCAAATTCTGAGCCTCCGCTTATTTCCTGCAGCTTCTCCACCGTACGCTGGCAATTTGTCTCCAGATGTTTGCCCAGCAGTTTATAGGTGTTATCGAAATTTTTGCTGGAATTCGAAGGCTTCGTCGAGATTGTGGCATTGAGGGGTTCATCGGGCTGCAGGGCAGAGCAGGTTTTGCTGGCGATAAGTGATTCATCTTCGGTTCTCAGGGTGCTATTCAATAGAGTTCCATTCCCGAAACTCTGGACATAGTCATCTGCGTCCTGTTCCGCAATGATGGGCAGATTGTCGACTCTCTTGAGCAGACATTGGCCGCCATTTGGCTGGTGTTGTGTTGATGATTCTTGTGGATTGTTTTTACTTCGAAATACAGTATTTAGGAGTGGCATTTTGATGAACTTGCATGGTCTTTGAACGCAAACTTTTCACACGAACTTGTACACGCACTTTGACACACAATTAACGTTTAACTGGACATTTTATGTAGAGCTGTTTGGCTAATAGGAAAATATATTTATTATCGAGTACGATTACGATAACTAATAAATAACAGGTTCCTTTAATGTTGAACAGGCTTGTCGATCGATTGCAGGGTTGCCAACACCCGCTCCGCTTTAGTCTTGCGCTTTTGCCCGGCCACTAAACACTAAACACCGTCCGTCTTTCATCTGATCTTAGACCCCAAGATATCTTTATCTTTACGACCGGAATTGCAATTATCGAAATAAGTATATAGACTATATTTCTTTTTGTTTTGTCGTATTATTAGGCAAACGTTAGCTTCCACAATCTACCAAAAAATACAATGGCAAATTGCAAATATGTTTATGCACATAACTCTCATTCATTAACATACAATGGGGGGACCGACAAAAAATCACAAATATTTCAAAACTCTGTCCTAACGCCACGACACCCAGCCGCAAGAGTGGACGACAGACTGTGGGTATCATGTTGGAGATTTAGTGGCTAGCACTACACCCAGCGAAGAAAAGTCGGAACATAAAACTCGTTTCCATAAATTAGTTAGACTCGCCGCTGGAATGAGATGCATTTTGATGGTAGCCCAAGCGAGGCATCCCTCCAGCATGGCCAAGATCACGTAGGTCGTCGTTGTCGTAGTCGTCTTCGGGACGAAGTCGTAAATCAACCAAAGAGAATACCTTCAGACAGAGTCGTGTGGGTTGGGCCCCCAGAATGTTGAATGCTGAATGCTGCTCCTGTTACATGGGCAAACGAATCAGTGCATCTTAAGAAGCTCTGAGGCAATGCCTTGGACCGGGTCCATAAATGCCTCTCTGCTCTCAATAGCCATTCGATCATAATTTATATGCCTAGCAGCAGGCAGCAGGCAGCAAAGTGAAAGAAAATTGAAGCCCACAGCTGAGATCTGCGCTAGAAACGACTGCTAACGGTTGTGCCAAATGAACGGCAAACATGAGATGACCAACATAAAAGAGCTACCAACTCAACCTAAACAACAGAATCTGAGAAGAGCAGTAAAAAACTAAGAGGAGGAGATGATTCAACTTATTCGAATAAATGTCTCTCGGATTTGCGTTGATTCACAGGGGAAAAAAAAGAAGCGTAATCGTCCCTGCAGTTGAAAGCGACTAAACCTCGTTTCGAGACCCAGTCCACCCGTCGATCTCAGAGGTTCATCGACATTCACAGAGCGTAGCTTCCATTTGTATGCATTTTATGAGTCACGGACAGAGCCACAGGTTGGCACAAACTTATGAATAAATCACTTTATCGCATAGATAAATAATAAAGCATATGACAAAATGGGCAACGACGAGAATCCACACAAATTGATTGCTTGATTGACAAAAGATATGAAATGAAATGGAAAAAAATCAACCAACGATCGGGCCAACGCCGGCTTGGGGTAATTATGTAAAGACAACTGAATAAATAGCTGAGGGAAAAGCAAAATAAAACGGAAAAAAATAAACAGATACTACAAAAAAGGCCAATCAATTCGTACACGCGAAAATGAAACGAAAACGGCAGCAGTAACAAACTCTTTTTGGCGGTGTTATTTTTTCTATATACATATAAATATATTTTTTTCGTAGATTTTTGCAATGTATTTGGTTCACATCAACTTTCACAAAAATACATGTTGTTTGTAATTAATTAATGGCAAAAGTTGGGTGCATTTAAGCAGCATTTTTATGGTCACCGCGGGGGAAGAGTCGTAGTCATGTTTTGTTCAATAAATAGCGAGGCTGGGGAGGCAACCCTGACCAGCACTTTCATAAAGCTGTCAAATGATGAATTGAATAAACAGCAAATAAAACTAATTTGTGATGCAAAATACACTCTCCAACACTGGTCAACAAGTTCAATGTCTGCCTAATTCGAATGGGATTTAAAGCGAAAGCAGGGGAAAAGTAAAGAAAGCATATACTAGGAGATAAAGCTTAATAGTTTTATTGATACATGAGTATAATTGAGTATAAACATATGATCCCTATCAAGGAAGTCAATGTCCGCCCAAAATATATATTTAATTGTTGTATCATATAACAAAATAAAAAACGCTTTGCACTACGTTTTTCTGCACTAATTATCGGGCGGACAATGTGAATGTCCTCCCCAATAGGCCAGTGACACACAAGACACGAGAAAAAAAAAGAGGCAGAGGCACAGAAATAGCAAAAGCCAACAGCAAAAACAAATACAAATATGTGACGGCTTCAGGTGCAGTGTTGCGAAATGACGCAATGAAAGTATGTCACCCCGAAAGCAGAAAAAAAAAACGCACACAAAACCAAGAAAAATGTAAACCATTTGTGTCTGCGCGTCCATTTCGATAGGGTTTTTCGCCACAAGAAGTATAACATGGCGGGTCATAAGCAGCTTTGGGGCTTTAACAAACGTACCTGACACAAATTTGTGCCATTTAGTTTTGGGAGAAGCTTAGCACCAATAAAAGCACAATTGTGCGAGAGATTATTACCTGGGCAGTGGCCATTTAATGTGCCCAATAGCTTACAGGCACACTAAAATAACATTTGCGGGGAGCATTAGGGGGGTTCCAATAACAGTTGTTTATTTAATGATGGTTTACTTTTATACAAAAATATAATAGTTTGAACAAAGAACAGATTGAGCAATAAAGAGCTGTACTGCAAAAGGTATCTCTAGCGACCACATCAAATGAAAACTATAAGCAAGAAGACCCCTGATGACTGACCAATGGAACCCCACACACACTCATATATCACACGCGTGAACAAACACCTAGCACCCAGCGCGTATGTGACTTTTTGCGGTTAATATTCTGCGGAACACTTGATGAGTGTCCAGAGTACGACTATAATCAACGTAACGCTTTTTTTTTAGCACGCCAGATAAACCGTTGATTGATGCGGAAGACCCACTGGATGATAATGGTGATCAATCAGGCCAAACAAGTGCTGGATAACCGGCTAAAGAACTGGACTAGCGGCATTCGCCTAACGGTAGATGGTAAAATTACTCAACAAACACACGCACACAACAGCTGTTTGGGTATGAGGTGTGGGGAGAGGAGGAATGCCATAGACAGACGGGAAATTCCGATAGAGAGAGAGGGAGAACCGAAACGAATGTCGCTCCTTATCAGCAGCAGACGAGGAGGAGGAGGAGACGAAGCACAAGACGAAATAGAGCTGCTTATGGAAAAGCGATTATGTAAAGAGCGTGCATTGAACAAATTGGAGACGACGTCGTCGTCGACGTCGTACACACATTCAATAATACGTAAAGAGGAAACACAAGAACAAATTAAGCTGACAGACGGGGCAAGCCCTGCCCTGAATAGCCCTGCCCATGGCCTTACACACACAGAACCGCACAAAACTCAATGTAAGAGTCAGCCGCCACCCACAGAACCCATTTATTAAACACGCTCCCTTTTAAATGTTTACAACAGCAACAATTTTCTCCTACATAATTCACCAGCGAAAATAAAATAAAAGAAATATAAGAAACATACACACACACACACACACTCATGAAAAAAGCTTATGGTAGTTGTAGTTGTCCTAAAAATAAATTTCAATTTGTATGACAGCACGAACATCTTCCACTTGGAGAAATTCCAAGTGTTTCGATTTTGTTTTTGGCACACACATATGAATAATCCAACCAAAAGTGTATTAATAATTTTGCGTTAATGATTTTGCGCCTGGCTGTGCCTTTGGCACACATATTTCTCTAGTGTATTTTTGGCAATTATTTTACGCGCGCACGCACAATTTCACTGCCAACAAACACACATATTTTCTGCATTCACCACTTGCACTTGTGTCTGGGTATTTTTGTGTTATTTTTGTAATTTATTAAAGCAGGCCGCCGCTTACATTTTCGTTTTGGCACACAATCACAATTTTGAGACGAGCAACGCGGCGCCGCCGTTTGGTTAAACTTTTGAAATTTTTTACACACATGCACGCGGAACATTCCTCCCGGCGACCGAAACGAAAATGTCCGGCGTTGCCGGATGGAGCCGGGCGGGAGCAAGAACAGCTGTTTGGAGCTGTCAAATTGGAGCGCCAATTGGTCGGAATAACTCAAATGAACCAAGAACCGGACTGTTGGTTCTTTATTGAGTTCTTGTGTTGAGTGCTTTGTTAGTTTATGAGAGCGCTTGATCTAAATCACACTCAAAAGAGAGCGGAATGCTCAATTTTTCGTCGTATACTTGTCATTATTGTGTGCACATGTGTGTGAATGGCAAGCAGCTGTTGTTCAACAACACTGTCTACTGCATCAAGTGTTGGAAGGTAACTAAATGGGCGCCAAATTTGAATTTCATTTACGCAATAGGTTTTCTTTTCTATGGTGTTTATATAAATAAAAATATCCAAGAAAATTTATATAAATATTTCTCTACAAAATCAGGCACAGAATTTCTTTGAAATTTTGCAAGATTTATCGTTTTAAAACATCACAGTCTTTGTCTTGTTATAAATATGTATAAAATAAATCAATCAATTTCCTTTGCAATCAATAAAGCAATTAAATCATCTTCAATTTGTTTCTGTTCGAAATATGAATAAACATTTTTCAAAACACTTCTAAGCGATCTCTTAAAATAAATTCGCAAAAGTGTCACAAAATTTATGAACGTTTCGAGACAACAAAACGGCACGGACATGTGCAACAAAAACAAAGAAACAATTTGGAATCTAGTATATTTCGCAATTTATTTTTAATCCACTTTCTTTGCGTAGATAAAAGAAAATTGCGTTCTGCCTGAAAGGAACGTTTGGATAAACAATTTGAAAAATGCTTAAAAAAGCATAAAAAAAGGAAATAGTATAGAAAACAAAGAAATGGAAGAATGATGACAGCTCTAAGCAAATTCCGCCTGTTGCTGACACGAGAAGCATGACCAAATAGTGATATATATATACAAGACTCAATGGAATATACATCTAGTATATGGTAGATTGTATAACACAAACCGAATATGATTCAAAGGCCGACTGCTCAGAGGCTTCCGCTGATAAATTCAAATTAATTGAGCAATTGAATGGCGCGCGAACGGGGGGCCATTAAAAACAAAAAGATATAAGACGACTTTTGGATATTCCTCTATTACATCTATTTTAGGGCTAGTTTAATGTGCAAAACACTCACGGAAATAGTTGAGGCACTCTCTAGTCTGATCCTTGGTCAAGCCCAGACCCTCCGCTGGTATCGGCAGCGCTGGGGCGGGCACGAACCAATCCTCATTCGCATAGCCCGAGAAATTTGTTAGGAAATCATTGCGAACTTTGTATTTGGGTATCTGCTCCTCCAGCAATGAAAATATCTCCACCTCCGGCAGATTCTCGCTGCTGCACAGCTCTGCAAAAATGAACATCAATTAAGAGATTAGCATGGCTATGAGAATTAGCGGGTTATATCCTCCTACCGGTTAGGCAACTGGCATCGCAGGTCTGTGGTTTTGGTGGGGCGGCTGCTGCTGCCGTCGCCTGTTGCATGAGACGCTTCGTCTGGAGCTTGGGCAGGTGCTTGCTGAGCGTCGCCTGGGCGGAGGGACTGAGCGGCATTTGGCCGCCATTGGCCCCCAATCTTGCAGATAGCATTAAATGTTGAAACGATCTCTAATTATAGTATTGTCTTGGTTTTAGTTCCTGGGGGGAATCCTCTGTTTTGGAGTCTGTCTTAGTCCTCGTGTGTGCTGCTGGCTGCTTCTCGTCTCGTCGTCAGCCAGCTGCTTTAGTTTCTAGCTAGTTAGTCGCTCAACTAAAATGACAAGAGAGAAAGAGAGAATGTTTGGTGTTAATTGTCTGGCAATCACATGGAACTAATAAGCCAGCTGCCAAGCGACGTTCCACCTTTTGGCTGTCTGTTTGCCTTTCATGATTTCATTCCGAATGAGCGAACGGACGGGAACCGTAGCCGCGGGCATTGCTTATCTTTTTGCTGATAAACAGAAAAAAAAGTGAATGATTATTAATACTATAAATATTAGCGAAACGTCAAAGGATTTTCGCCCGAATGTTTATCAACTACTAAATTGGCAGTCGCCAAGTCTCCCACTCATCCACTCACTCGTGAAAGTATTCTACACAGTATTGGAAACACACGAATGTGTAATATGAGATCATTTCTATGAAATTCTCAGTGGAAGACCTCATTACACGTTGCAGTTTTTAGGGCAGGAAAATAGTTACAGATCTTTATAGAACTTTATTTAACTGCTTAATAGTTTTAACAGTATTTATGAGATTAGTATTTGCCATTCATTCTACATTCTTTAAAATCTCACCATTTTCAGAGGAAAGAACTTTCGAAAATTGTATATTTTACACCTTGAAAACTTTTGGAAGCTCTTGAAATAAAATTTTTAGCCATAACTTCAGAATTTTGTAGCATTATTACATTATTTACTCGTTGTATATGAACAACTTCTCAACTAAGCTCAGTATAAGATCTAAAGCTCTATATTTCTGATTGTTTTTGGTTCTACATTCTACATTTAAGTACATATTTCACTTGATTTTAAGCTTTATCTGAAACTAATTCAACTTTTTAGACACTCTGAATGGAAAATGCCAGCGTGTAGAGCCTCCTTTTAGCTTTAATCTCCCACCTGGTCACACTTTTATATTTAAAGTTGCCTAAAGAAAGTCTTACAAGCTTTAACTGAACCTTCCGTATATGATTGCATAGTGTAAATCTTTAGTCTCTTTAATTTATCACAATTTGGACAAGTTTTCTTGCTCTTCTTATAAGTTTCCATCGTGTAGAGCCTTTTTAAGCTTTAATCTCACACCTGGGCCCACTTTTTATGGCTAACGATGCGTACAGAGCGTCTCTCTGGCTTCAACTGATTTCTCAGAGCCACACAAATGATTGATTAAGCGGAGTCTGCAAGTCGTATTGGAGTTTCGAGGTCGCGATAAAAAGCACAAAAGAGCCGAAATATTCAGTACTCGAAAGAGCACACAGAATCCAACAGCAAAGAGATAGATGCCCCAAAAAGAGTGAACTGGAAAAAATAGATACGACTACGTGCCAAGAGCCCCGTCCGCTGCACTCCATAAGCAGTGTTGTGTGATGTTGTGGTGATAATAATTCGGAAGGGAAGCAATCAAAAAATGAGAGGCAAAAGGTGTAATTAAACAATAAACAAAAGCACACAACACACAAACCAAAAGAGCGGGAGAGCGGTAGAGAACAGAGTGCAAATTGGAGTTAAAAATTGCAATTCTCTCGCACAATCTGCGGTGGAACCATGACGCACAAAGCGAATGACCACTGAATCTCTGAACTTTGTGAAGCATGTGACGACGACAATGGGACCCCGAGGGAAGGAGACCAGAGGCTTTATGGGTGTTCCCTCTAGTCAGAATTGGCGATAAAGACACCCCAAATGATAACGCCTCATACCTGGTATTCGTGGGGTTCAGGGGTATTTAGGGTTTATGTAAAGGTATGCCATGCACAGAAGGAAGCGTTTTCCACCCCTCGAGCGGACATTTTACTATTATTCTTTATCAGCATTCAAAAACCGGTTGAGCGGTGTCAGGGCCTTGAACCAGGAAACCATCTCTACCTACCCTAACCGGGAAAATCTAGACATATTTCCTTCTGCCTGTTGTACTAGTTGACACCTGGATCTTGGGGACTATAAGATCTGGAGAGCTACTGTCTATTATCTGAAGATCTACCAACACCCATCACGGTTGGATAATGAAATATCTGATATTACATTTCACCATAGGAGGTCCCTATAGGAGGGTCTATAGAATCCCCTTAGCATAGACAGGGTATCCTATAGTCGTATTACTAGACTCTTACTTTTTCCTATGCTGCAGTTCGTCGAACGTCCGCCTGCATTGCGTAACACGGGGCGCAAAAAAAAAAAAGAAAATAGAAAAATGTTGAGAGAAATTTACATATAGGGAAAGGCAGACAGGGAGGTGGAGAAAGGGGGATGGACAGAAATAACAACAAAACAGAATCGTGAATGGGAGACCGGCGGCGGTAAACGGTAATAGTTTGGCAGCGCTGCAAATGTCGATGACGCTGCCAGCCAACTTGTCAAACACACTCGCACTCTCTCGGTCTCTCTCACACACACACTCACACATGGGAAAGCAATTTTCATTCGTTTTGCCAAGCGAACCTCAAAAACGTACCGCCAGAATGCGTAAAGCGCGCAATTGTCAGCCAAGAACAGGCAAGCAGCAAAAAATACACAAAAAATAAACGGGGAAACGAAAGCGGATGGCATAATGCTCTAAAATTAATTTCGAAGCAAACGACAACCCTCAAATGCTTGCCAAAAGAACGAAAAATTTGTTAAAGTTGCGTTTGCTATGCCGCTCTTTTTCCCACAAATTTGTTTTGGGCTATTTTCACGCTGTACTCATTTAACATACGCACACACACACCACACACACTTAACACAGATGCACACACCACACACAGCCCAGGCCATTAGTACCGTTCACTTATATAAGCCGCAACGCCAGTGGGGCAGGGTCATTAGACGATGGGCATCGTTTCTAGTTTTTTTATATGATTTATTTTTTAAGGGGTATTCCTCTGGCTGCAGCAGGCATTGCCTAACCCCAATGAATCAGCTGGGCCATCACTAGAACGGGTGGGGGTCGGGTGGGGATGCTGCGTGGGGGAGGTCAAAAATTATCACACACACACCAACAATGTTGCGTGGGCGCAGCTGTGCGTGTATTGTGATTTTGAACTCCCGTTATGAAGCACTGCGGTCATCATTACACTACACTTTGTTTTCATTCTCTCACGAATTTCATAATAGCCATTCCGTACTACGAAATTAACCTTTACACCTTAGGCCATCAAATTATTGAATTTTCAATTTTGTCCATGCTATGTTTTGGCATTGTTGTTGCTAGTTCTGATACCTACATTTTGTTGTAGCTGTGTGATTGTGTTTGCCATTTTTTCACCGTGTGCTGCTTTCACACACACACACACGACGCACACGTACAAGCGAGAAACTCAATCGTCACATGGAATTTTCGTCTAAGTCCGCACGGCACAACGCGCTCGTCAATGGTTGAAAAGAATATTGTTTGTCGATTGATCTATTAGAATATACTATCTGCGAATTGTGTTTGTGTGCGTGTAAATTTAAACTAATTATTTAACTAGATTTTCAATAGCGTTTCGCGGCGACCATTTCGGCCAGATTTGTCACAGTTTACATTTACATTACATGGCAACTACACGGAAAGTACACATTTGCTACATAATGGGAGGAAAAAGAGGGTATGGACAGTGGGCAAAACGGCACAGAAAGTGCAACGCATCCAACGTGAAATCCACCTCTTTTGCCTCATATACCTTGAAGACAAAATATATTGTCCTTACAGGCGAGGTGAGGTTCTTACGGAACCTTGCTATGGCTGTTTTTGCTTGTTGTTCATATCCTTTTTTATAGCCCATCAAAATGAGAACTCATTTTTTCGTTGCAGGAGTGGGTCTGTTTCGATAGTCGATCAAATGCACCCGTCTGGCGCTCAGAAATATACCGAAATATACCGTATATTTACCGATGAAAAGGGCCATCCTGAGTAAATGTATCGAAACTGATTAATCGTTATCGTTGCTCGAAATTCAATACGACTTTTGTTGTTGCTTTCCGTTGTTTTTATTTTTGATTTTTAGTATTCTAAAATTCTTGTACAATTGTTTTATTTTATGACGGCCTAATAATCGACTATTTTTTTATATATTGCTGCTTTGATAACGCTACATGTTTGGAGATTGGCGGTGATTCAAAGAGGAATATTTGGTGATATTAAAGTACAATTTTTATTATTTTAATTTTCTTTATCCAAGTCAAAGATCTAACCTTGCAGCATCTTTAGACGGACTAAAATATTTGTATCTCAATTATGGATTTTCTAAACAAATTTAAAATTCAAATTGAAAACGTATTATTTCAGATTATTTCACACATAAAAATGTAATTTGTTTGCTTTACTGAATTAAAAACCCCAATTGGTATATCGCATTTTGGCGTGGTTAGGAATGCCTAATTTATACGTTTTTTAATATATTTGTAAGTGTATTTAATTGTATTGTAATATGTGCCCCCTAGTTTTCAGCTTGCGTTGAAAAGTCTTTGAAAAAAATCGAAAATATTCTGACCAAAAATGATTTTTGTAACGAATAATAACAATATACCGCGAGCGTGTTGCATCCACATCGAAGAAAAAACCATCCATTCGTTCTTCTACTCTCATCAATCGTCGTCGGTGTTCTTGCGCGTCAGTGCCACCAATTCGGAGGTGCCCACTGAATCCGGAAACATTGAGTGATAGTTGACCACGGGCACGTATGCGGCCGTAATGACGCGTCCGGCAAACCACCGGCCGTGCAGCGCATTCACCGCCAGCACCGCCGTCGTTGTGCTCGGACACTTTACGTATACGGTGCCCGTGGGCGAGGCGGTGTCCACATGGATGTGCAGCACACCGCCATGCTTGGCGCACTCCTCCAGCACATCGTCGCGTATCTCTACGTCCCAGGTGGGATTCGTCTCCGTGCGCGGATCAAACATATTCGACAGTATGAAGCACTGTGTGGCTATCGATGGTGTCGCCTGCTGCTGCTGCACCGGTGCCGGTTGCGGTGCTGTGGCCAACAGCGCATTGGCCGCCGCCTGGGGCACTGCAAGACCCGCTCCCTCCGCCAGCTTGAACATCAATTGGAGTCGTCCTGTGGCGCCGAGATCAATGCCAGTGCGATCCATCTCATCCGTGTCCAAAGAGGTGGTGTTCATATCCAGACGTTCGGTCACATTTCCCACCTTCATGGGACGTCCAGCGAGCTCGAAGCCATTCAATTGTTCCAAAGCCTTTTTGGCATCTTCAGCATTGTGGTACTGCAAAAAGACCAAAAGAGTTTATTGAAGTGGAATCTCTAGATATTATATACCCAAAACATACCGTAATAAATCCGTATCCCTTAGAGCGATTTGTCTCCGTGTCCATGATCAGTTGAATAGCATCGATCTTGCCAAATGGTTCGAATATCCCCCTCAGCATTTCCTCGGTGATATCAAAGTGCAGCGATCCCACGTACAGGCGCATCGGACCCACGTGGCTCTTGGGCTGGAATGCAGGCGTTGCATTCTGTAGGCGATTCTTCTCGGCCTGCGTGTGCTGCACCATAATGGGTACGCCGAGCAGCCGCTGGCCGGACAAGCCCAGAGCGAGGGCCACCGATTCGGGATCCTCAAACTCGATGTAGGCAATCCCCTTGAATCGTTTCGTCTTGTTGCACGTAATCAGACGCACATCGCGCACCTTGCCCACGCTGGAGAAGAACTCCTCCAGATCACGGGCCCGAACACGTTGCGACAGCTGAATGCAGAACACAGTGCGAGCATCCCGCTCCTCGGGACTCAGCTCGGTGGGCGGTGTACGATCGCCGCCACCACCGCCGCCGCCGCCATTTGGTTGTGATCGCCGGCGGGGTGAGTAGCTGCCACGACGACGAGTACTGCTGTGGGAAAGGAAGGGGATTCAATGGATTTTATTGAAAAATCTCTGCATATTTATATTATAAACTTACGTTTTATCTCTTGGTCGCGAAGGACTACGCTTGCGTTCACGTACTGGACTCAGTCGCTTGCGCGGCTGTTCACGTGAGCGACTGCGTCGACGCCTGTCCCTGGATCGATCGCGCTGTATGGGCTTACTGCCATCTCGACGATCCCGAGAGCGGCGATCTCTCTCGCCGCGATCATTATAGCGTACACGACGATCATCGGCAGCGCCTCCTGTTCCTCCTCCTCCTCCTCCGCCGCCGCCGCGCTCTTCTCTTGATCGACTGCGACGTGATCTCTCCTGCTTGTCTCGTTCCCGATCGTTGCCAGGACGTTTGCCAGCATCACGATGGCGATCCCGCTCTCTATCTTTCTCCTTGTCGCGATAACTGCTGCGATCACCACCGCGATCGCCACGATCTCCACGCTCTCTTCTCGATTTGTTATCACGCGAACCGCTGCGACTGCTGCAATACAAAAGAGAGATCTCTCAGTGGTTATGCCACTAATATTTGCAGTGTTTTGTAAAATCTTACCGAGATCGTTTCGTTGGCTTTTTGTTTGAACTGGCGCCTCCGCCACCGCTGCTGCCGCCGTTGCGTGTTCCATTGTGTGCATGACCATCGTTGATCTCCGCCTGCGGACCACCCCCGCCGCCTCTGGGACTGTCATCACTGCCATCGCTGCGCCCGCGTCCTCCACGTCCACCGCTGCCCGCACTGACACTCTATACACAGATAGGTTTCGTTTTTGTATGTTTTGTTTCGGAATCAGGATATTGGATTTGGATGGGATGGGATGGGGGCAGAGGTTGGTTTTGGGGGATCGGTCGCAAGCAATAATGTACATACATATAATTTTTAATAATTTTTTTTGGTTTGGTTTGTTTTTTTTTTGTGGATTGTGGGTGGGGTTTTTGTTGTGGATTCGTACGTTACGTTGTTGTCGCGTTGGTTTGGTTTTGATGTTGGTTGATTTTTCGATTTATATCATTGGTTTGGTTTTTCATGATATATTGTTTTTCAGTTTTCGTAACATTTTTTTTTTTCGTATATATATTTTTTTAGTATATATTATTATTTTTTTTTTTTTTGAATAAGAGAAAGCAAATCAAAGTAAATTAGTTAAATTTTTGTGTATCTGCAAGTATATAAAATAGAAATGCTTAAGTCAACAATGATCATGGGGGATCATTGCCAATTTATAGCCATAATAGAGAGACAGAGAGATATAGAAGTACACAAATATATATAGAGAGAGACAGAGAGATCTTATACAATATAGTTTCGATATATAGTATATATATTTGGTGGGTATATATATATATAGCTGATATTATGGCACACACACAGATCAGAAGATGGTTTCACACGACGACGCGCGAGAAATGTTGTCTCCACATCATTTCTCATCTCATGCTCTCGATTCCCTTTCACGGTTTGGTTTTTGGGGAATTGTTTTGTTTTTTTTTATTCAGTTTTTTGCTTTGGTTTTTCTTTTGTTTTAGCGCTGGCTAGTGGAGTAGTGGAGGTGGACTTTGGTACTGGTTGATTTGGTTCTCAACAGAGAAGACATCGTCTACACATAGATATAGGACATAGACATTATATAAGTACAAGATGATAATGCTATATATGGTGTATAGAAATTGCTTATTACTTTTTCACGGATTCAGTTTTGTTCTTTTTGTGTTCTTATATATTTTGTTTGGCTTGGCTTGGGCTTTCTTTTTTAGAGAGACTCTGACTTTCTTTCAATCTGGTCTGTCTTTTGTGAGTGAGAGTAGTAGTAGAGTGGAGTAGTAGTAGTGCTGCCTGCTGCCCCAGACAAGTTAGGTAGAGTTTATCTGAAATTTAGTGCACGTTCAGTTTCATTTGATTGGATGATATACAAAAAAGCAGTAAAGTAACGAGAATTTGCAAATTGGAATTGTTTTTTGTGTGTGGAGAAAAAAAATAAACTCAAACTCAAACAAATCATACAGTATTTTGTAAAAACACCAAACAAATTCCTAGATATGTTTTGGTTTCATTTTTTTTCTTTTCTTTTCTTTTGTTTTTTGTTCTTGTTGTTGTTTGTTTTTTTTTTGTACATATATTTTTTTTTGTTTTTGTTTTTCGTTTGATTTTTGTTTTTTTGTTCGCAGCTTCTGTGGCACATTCAAAACTTACCAAATGGTCTCCAGCTTTTTGTGTTTAGAATGACCAAAACAATCTCTAGCAACAATATTGAGCTTATACGATTCTCTGCAAAGACATTTCACCCTTCAGGATTATTCTAGCATTGTTTTTTAAATTTTTTGTAATTTTTTTTGTCATTGATTTGATTGATTGGTTGGTTTTGGGGAAGTTGTGTGTTAAGAGAGCAGAGAGAGGGAGAAATAAGAGCAATCAACTCAAAGATTGTGCAGATTGATTCAATCTACATAAAAGTATTGATATTTTTGATAGGTGGGGCGGTGGTTGGGGGGACTATGTATAATGGACAAATAAGAGAATGTTGAATAGAAATAGAATTCAGTTTGATTCATTTGTGGTACGGGAAGTTTATAAACTTCTTATATCAGAACAGAAAGACTTCTATTTGATTCAAAGTGTGGAAACTCCCGAGTTCTTTTTTTTTTACAGCTGGGAATATAATTTAAATAAAAAGTATAAAAAAACGACTGGTCATAAACAATTAACTTGGTGACGAGAATATCTTTTGCTTTAGAGAACTTTTATATTTTTAATTATTTCCTTTTATAGGAATCATAATATAAATTGATTTCCATATATTAAGGTATTAATCCCCCCGAAACCTCATAAAATGATAGAACAAAAGAGAGATTGTTAATAGATTAAGAATGCCCAAATCCGTTAGTACTACTCTTTAGTTTAGACAGAACTCTTTGCCATGAGCTCTTACGATTTTCCTTATCTGTTTTAATTAGAACTGGGACCGATTCATTTCAATTTAAAACAGCTGCAGAGAAAAATTTCTACACTGATAAGATAAGCTAATGAAAACGCTTGAGCATATAGCAGGTTGAAGAAAATGCTGAAAGTATCCGTGACAGTCCGTACAATATATCCATGAAATAGAGAAAAGTTTTAAAGACACGTTTTTAAATTGTTTTTGCCCACTGTTATGTTATGCCACCCACTGTACCCCCACTTCAGGACATCCCTGGGTTCACCGTTAAATGTCTCACAGCATAAAGTAAACAACACATACATACACATGCACCCACAAACTGACAGAGTTTCGCACGCACACACATTGCCGCGGGAAAACTATTTTCCGTGTGTGGGTGCAAGGTACGAAAATTTATGGAGAAAAAAAAGAATCACGCTCTGCAGTGTTACGCTTGCCGATTTCATTTATGAAAGAAAAATTAGGTTAAAAAAATCGATTTAAGACAAGCGGCCGCCACTTAGTATGCATTGAATGCACATATATATATATACATATGTATACGCTTGTGTGTGTGTGTGTGCCCGAGACGACGACTTACATACAAACACAAAATGCACGTACGAACGGCGCGCGCTATGTGGGTGTCTATGTAGAAAAGAAGTATACAAACATACATGTAGAGTAACTGTTTTTCTTCGCAGTGAAAATAATTTCATTTTGTTGGTACAAACCATTTGTTTTGGCTTAATTTAATGTTCAATACTTCAATACTTGTGTGCATGGAGTGGTAACTTACGTTTTTCTGGTACGGCGCCTCGAGCATTGCCTCAACATCAAAGTCCTCGGCCATGTTAAATTTTCTTCTTCTTTCCCTTCCCCTTCCGCTGCTGGCGCGGTGTAATCCAAGTGAAAAAGTCTCCTCGTCGGTGTCTAGCTCGTTTGAAGAAATCAAAATGTTGTGGGATGCGCAGCGCAAGTCGTAAAACCACTTACGAACTTTTATTTCGGTTTATTTCTAAATTAAAGTGCAATTTTTTCGTTTTTTCACTAGCGTGGCGGCTGTCGCAGCGTGTGTTTCGTTCAATTTACTTTACACGTACCATGTCCATGGAAACTACACGGTAACTACGCATTTGCTACATCATGGGAGGAAAAAGAGGGTATGGACAGTGGTCAAAACGGTCCAGAAAGTGCAACGCATGGAAGTTAATATCCACTTTTGCTTAATATTTTCATCACACGCGAACCTCGACATTTGTCTTGCCTGTTTTTGGCTGTTGGTCCATTCCATACCCTTTCTTTTGTCCATTCACAAAAAACGACTCATTTTTTCGTTATGGAGTAAGTCTGTTTCGAGCAATGCAAATCATTTGCGGTATTTTTTTCCGCGAAAAGCCAGCTGCGAAATATGTTGTCAATCAAAATACAATGAATTTTTATCTAATCGTTCCCATATCATTCGCTTCGTTCAAATATCATTTGATTGTCGACAAAATATGTCGTCGATTTGATTTACTGGGCAGTTATCATTACAACTCGCAGCTGTTTGAAACCCTATACGGTGCTGCCACCTGGATTGCGATACCTGTCGATACCTGTGTGTCGTCATTTAATCGATTTGTTTATAAATAATAAGCAGTAGCGGAATTTTACTGAAATATTTATGCAGAAAGAGGGCTGGCAATTAATGCAGCAGCATGCACCCAGCGCATTGGAAGAGAGAACATTATAAAGCTTGCCAAATCATCCTGAATGGAGCTTCAGCCTCCGTGCAATAGCAAGAACACGGGGCCGTCTTGTTGTTGAGTCATCAACAATTAACAACAAAAACAAGAGCAGCAGAAGCAGCAGAAGCAGCCTTGGGGGCGACCGTTAACACCACCCGACGAGTTAGACGGTGCCACAGGTGAGAGGCACACACGAGACAAGGCGTAGTCTTTCGCCTTGATGGCGTAAGCTGATCCAACAAACCACCCCATCATCATCGCCCATCAACCACACATCAGGCGTTACGCGTCGTTGACTAAGGTGTGTCTAAACTATGCTTTGAAATCAACTAATGTCTGTCTACGATTGCAGAGCATCGCACACACGTTTCTCTAACGCTCCACTCGCCCAATAAAAACTATGGAGGACTACAAATTCCTATTCAAAATCGTGCTCGTTGGGAACGCGGGCGTTGGCAAAACCTGCCTGGTGCGGCGCTTCACCCAGGGTCTCTTTCCCCCCGGACAAGGAGCCACCATTGGCGTGGACTTTATGATCAAGACCGTGGAGGTGGAGGGTGAGAAGATCAAGCTACAGATTTGGGACACTGCCGGCCAGGAGAGATTCCGTTCGATCACCCAAAGCTACTATCGATCCGCTCACGCCCTGATTCTGGTGTACGACATCAGTTGCCAGCCCACGTTCGACTGCCTGCCCGACTGGCTGCGTGAGATACAGGAGTACGCCAACTCCAAGGTCCTCAAGATACTCGTGGGCAACAAAACGGATCGCGACGACCGCGAAATACCCACACAAATTGGCGAAGAGTTTGCCAAACAACATGACATGTACTTCCTCGAAACATCCGCCAAAGAGGCTGAGAATGTGGAGCGTTTATTCTACGAGATTGCCGCCGAACTGATTGGCCAGGCCCGCAGCAAAGACGGCAGCAGTGCTGCAGCTGCGGCGGCCGCCCAGCGGCAGTCGGACGGCGGTTCCATTGGATTAGCCAGCTTAGGTGCCAAAGCAGCGCAGAGCAATTGCTGTGGCGGTCTGGCCAATGCTGGCGGAGGGGGCAGCGGCGGTGGCGGTGGTGCAAACACTAGTCAAGGCGGCTGAAAAGCGGTAGTAACTGAAAAACTAAAATGAAATTTGTAACTAGTTTAGGGCTTAATCGTGATACTCAATCTGATCTTTTAATAGATAATTAGACATTCATCTGCACTCCCTGTTTTCCCCATGTATTTATTATAATTTCAAATGCAAGATATTTTACTTTAGTTCCCCAAAGTTGCCCAAAATCACGATTAAGATCTTTGAAAAACTAGCCAACACTTGACTATGGATGCTAAATATTTGTGTTAAAAGTCGAACTCCATTGGATGTGTAGTCGCCTGATTAAAGCGCCTGATTTTCTTGATTAGTATTATACATAAACATAGACATACAATAGATATTGTATCAAGTGAGCATCACATTTATGTAATATCAACATTGCAATGCACACAAATTCCTGTTTTTAAAATTGATTGTATTGTTTCCGAAGGAGTATTTTGTATATTTTATACATTAACAAAGGTATCTTTTTTTTTGTAACATTTTTGTATACATTTACCAACCTGCAATATGCGTATTTATTTGACATTATTTTGTAATGTGCAACAACCATTTCAAATGCAATTTTTAAACTGGTACTCGTATTTAGAGTGTAAGGTGATTTTATGACATTCCAAAAATTAATTATGTAGTTGACAAAATATGAGATAAAAGGAAATGCTGGATGGAAACTAAACTAAATAAATAATAAATCCATTTGTAATTTAATTCGGGGTAAATATTTGTTACGGGACTTGTGGATTCTAAGGAGACTTGCAAGGGGTTCTCAATGTTGAAAAAACAAATAGAAGGTCAAGATATCCCCTGCTTATTGGTACAGGATAGGTAGCCGTGGCTACTATAATAGCTCTTACTTTTCAATTACTTTCTATAAGGATCGTATGTATAAAGTATTGAAGCATAATGAGGTAAAGATTTCATGGGATAACAGATCTGAGCATGAGAATTAATAGGATATCCAAGCTATAAGCGTAGATATTGAGCAAAGGATAGCCTACAAATCTATTCCAAAAACTCTGTTGCACTCTTCTCAATAATTTTCAAATCAATACTTCACCTAAATTACTATTTCAATCGGTTAATAAAAAGAATATCTTACTTTTCATATGTATTCAACTCCCACCAACGAAGAGATAGTAGTTCAGGAGAAGGCATTCCTCTCGTATCCCTTTTTACAATAAAATCCACACATTCACTTTGATAAAAATACTTTGTTTAACTATACGAAAAGCCTCTCTTTTAAGTAATATAATTTGCCTATTAATTTAAAAAATCATTGGCCAGTTCCACGCCAAAGAAAACCGCTGCCGTGGCTGGAAAGGCACGTAGGAGAATGGGCAGGACACCACGAAACAGCGCTGTAGGACCCTCGGTGGCCATAAGATCCCTGAAAACACTGCGAATGCCGTGCTTATAAGTGCCCTCGGGTGCTGTAAAATCCATCATAAATGATTCAATAATGGCCGATACTTGGTAAATCGATGATGATGATGACTCACCTGATTGTAGACGGCTCTTGAGTACATCGAAGGGCACGGCCAAAGTCCAGAACACAATGCCAGATGTTCCGCCAGCTAAAATGGTTGAGGTGGTGCTTATTTGTCCAGTTTTTGATTTTTTTCTAGCCAAATCCTGAAGGAATTCATAGGTCACGAAGTAGAAACCGGTGGGGGAATCTAGTGGGTTATACAAGATATTTAATGGCCTCTTTTCGGATGTAAAGATTGAGTACTAACCTCTCAGAATGCAGGCACATGTTCCCTTGAAGAGACTCTTGAACCCGCCCTGTCTGTACAGCTTCACAGCCGTGTCCAGCGTCCCATTGTACATCTGAGGTCCTCCACTCACCGTCTGTGTCTGCAGCAGGACTTTAATCCGATCCGTGGGCACCGTAACCAAGGCGGAACACACACCCGCAAAGGCTCCGGCGGTAAATATTTGTGGATAGGTGAGCCGTATATGATCATCCGTTTGGAACAGACGTTTGCCTGCCGCATAGACGGCAAAGTCCACTGCGTAAATGGGAGTTACGCCCAGAAGGGGGGCGGAGATTCCTCTGTAGAAACCCCGGAATCCCTCCTGACGAAACGTCTTTACGGCACAGTCGATGACGCCTTTGTATCTGGGCTGCTGGCCAGGCGCCGCCAGGGGCATTGTCTGGAGCCGAACCTGCAGATAAGAAACACATATGTTTGGCATCAAGAAACATTTCCCAAGTGGAATTTTTGTGGCATACCTTGATTGTGTCGAGTGGATGGCCAGTGATGACATTGCACATGCCACCAAAACCTCCGGCAATAAAGAATTTCACGGGATTGGCCTTCTGCGGCGTTACGAGCTCCGTCATGGCGTGATTGTAACTATTTACGTAAACGAATCAGGAAATTCGTCAGCCTCTTTCGCGGCCGAATGCACGTGCTGTCGAGTGTATGCTGCGTGTGGGTTGCGTTATGTTATCTGCACGATTTGAGGCTGCTGACCTATGCTAATATTGAAAATTTGAGTAGTCCATTGGGGTGCGAATTCCATCTTCAAATGCTGGGCCTTATCTATGCGAAGAATTTCATTTGATTTTGAGCTATTGCAGCGGACTTTGAGTGCGGAAATAGCGTTAAAATATACCGTTCCGCCCACAGAAATATACCAAAATATACCGTCTCATTTTAAAAGTATACCGTAAATATACATACGAATTCAAGTTCTATATTGCTCGATTTCTATATTCCGTGGAATATAACTAACTATCTAGATCATTTTCTACTTGACTGGCTTATTTTAAACACTTGGCTTAGATTGTTTTTGCATCAATGTTTGTAACAATATAGCGTCTCGTATCATGAAAAACCAGACTTAGCCCACTTAAGCCCCGTCTATTTAAATAGTTCAACTTGAGCTATATGGCGGAGAATATTAACGATTGTAAATTCGAATTGTAGATTCATGCCATCTTTTCTCTAAACTTAAAAAACCACGATATCCTTCTCCTGTTATTAAATTTTCATTATTTTTTTTCATTTATTTTGGCTTATAATAGGTTAATCGTTCTTCGATATTACCATCGATGTTTTTCCAGCACTACTTCCGATAACCTTTCAATAAAATTTCAACACAAAATTTTAAGACAAAAATGTTGAACTAACAAAATAAATGATACGAAATAGGCTAATAGACGCGAACACGAACACACTGCAACGCATGTTGGTCAAAACGCCCCGATCGTTCACCCAGCTGCTGTAAATAGCAGCCATTTGCTGCTGCTGACACAACAAGAAGAAGCAGAAGGGAGGCAGGCAGCAACAACAACGAAAACAACAGCATTTCGACAAAATTGTTGCGTATTGTCTTATCTCATTTCTTTTGGCCCAGCAGAAGAGACGTACCATTTTTGTGCAATCTGAGTGAACAAATCATATGTATAACTTATGTCTGATAAAAGTGCAAAGGAATCCTGTATCAGTCGTAGTGCGAGCTGCAGCAGCAGGCGCAAAAGAAGAAAGTGAATTCGCGCAGCAGGGAGGAGTCGTCACCGAAAGCAAGAAACAAAAATCTATTGCCCATTGCCCCTAGGCGCGCGCAACGTGTTCCGCTTGCGATTAAACAAAAGAAGTGAAGTCAAATAGCAGCTGTGTTAAACAATGTCCCATGGCGAGGATGTGCTAGATAATTGGGAAGAGCTTGACGAGGCGGCGGTACGTACTCACTCCCCACCAAACTTTCTCTAGAATCTATATATAATTCCATTTTGCACCCACTTGTTCGGACCTGCCCAGCTCTCTATGACTTTGCAAACCAAGCTGCAAACAAGCGAGGAAAAGCCCGTAATGAAAATGAAACTACTTCAGCGCCCGCAGAGCCTCCAGGACAGCAGCAGTGGCAGCCCGAGCAGTGCCCCCAGGCAAATCACTATTGCCAAGAAGCCCACGCCGCTCGAGGCGGCCCAGTCAGATGGCGAACCAGTCTTGATGGTGCTTCATAAGTCGACAAACGACTATGATCCGGCTACCTATGCCACGCCCACCATCAATCAGACCGTAAAAATCCTGCGGCGTCCCGCCCAGGCGGAGGAGCGACGTGATACGAATGGCATGAAACCCAAGCAGCCCATCAAGACGCTAAAGCAGCGCGAGCAGGAGTATGCAGAGGCCAGATTGCGTATTTTGGGAGCGGCCAAGAATCCAGAGGATGATAAGCCGTAAGCATAGCACGATAGCGATTGCATGGAACTTTTTTCTCTAAATGTGATTCTTGAATCATTTGCAGACCAACACCACCAATCCCAGTTTCACCACAACAGGCTTCTCCTGCTGCGGCAAACCACTCAACTCTACCTGCTGTCAGCCACAATAACAATAACAACAATAATAATAGTAACCCTGGTCCTGGTAGTGGAATGCATCGCTCTAGTTCGGCACCGAAGATGTCCCAAGTGTCGGCCATGTACAATAACTACAACAGTTACTTCCAAGGGCCGCATAATCCGGGGCTGAACTATTATTACCAGCACGCCGGACCACTGCCACCACAGCAGCAGCCGCCAGCCATGCCGCCGCATTTCAATCAACGCATGCCACCGTACGTTGGAGGAGGTATGGGCATGGGTGGAATGCCAGCCCAGCCGCCACCACAGCCATCGGTCAATCAGCAGCAGCAACAGCAGAGTTGGTCGCCCGTGGTCGGAGGCAGTGTATCCGCTGCTCTGTTGCGCCAGCAGTCAATGCAGCAGTCGCCACAGCAGCAGCACCAGCATCAGCCGCCGCAAAACTACAATGACAACATCTTGCGCCTACCGAGGGGACCCTGCCCGAATGGTTCGGTTGGCTTTCAGATGCGCCGGTAACAGATTTCAGCAGAAGCAGGAGCAATGGGATGTGGTTTTAATAATTCAGTAAATTCTACTCATCTTGGTGTATAGATTCCAAAAGTGTGCAAAGATAAAAAAAACAACAAACAGAAATTCATGTGCGAGCGTTTCCGATCTGAGATTTGTATGTCGTCATGTTTGTGTGTACTCTGTGGTCCGTCCGCAGGCGAAGTAACCATCAAACATAAAAAACTTAAATATGTAAAAAAAATTAATGACGAAGTATGGTAGATATTTTATAAATTTACAACTCACCCAAACCCCCAATTTTTGTATAATGTCATACTAATAAAAGGAAATCCTTATTTTAAAGTGAGTGTCCTACAGAAATGTGGAGTTGGGAAGCGGTTTCTACTATGGAGGATGATTATTATAAGTAGAATTGATTATTTACTTTAGCATTTACTTCAATCAAACGAAATTCCAGCCACTTTTAAGGTTTCTCCGATCGTACAGAAGATTCATCGCAAGTATTTCATTTTTACACCCAATATTCAGGCTGAAAGTGCAATGATCTTACAATAATTGAGCTCAAAATATCATCTTGTTTATTGTTAGCATCCGTTTGGAATCTAATTAATCAGCCAGCAGTAGCCTGTTGTCAACAAGAGCATCGTATTCATTTGAAATTCAATCTTTATACAAACATATCGTGGATTGTAAATATTGTTGGAGCCAATCGTACAATGATCTTCTTCCTAGTAATTGAAATAAAGCTAAAAGTTTATCAAAACTGTTATCCCAGATCATATTTCAATTAAGAACGAGGGGGAACGTTGTGAGTTGCTGCGGACACCGCAACTCTACGGTTATACCCGATACTAAGTCAGTATGGCTCTCCTCCGGCAGAGGCCGCTAATATTAAACGACACGACAAAGAGTGCGTGCGAGAGAGACAGAAAATCAGTCTGAGCGTGACGTCGGGCGCTGCGTAGCCAATGCAAATTGATTTGTTCCTTTTGGCTACAAAAATTATCTGATCTGATCCAAATTCAGCAACTGGATAGATATAGTCATTCTCTATGATTCTGCGTTTTTAGTTTTCTCGAATCTGCAATATTGTGGATGCAACAGATTTTCGTCCTTTGTGGGGGCGGATGGGGATGGGGCGAAATTCTGAGATATACGTTTTATAGTGACATTTTAAAGGAGTGTGTGTACCAAATTTGGTTACTCTAGCCTTAATAGTCTCTGAGATTTGTGGTTGCCTCAGATTTTCGTCCTTTGCGGGGGCGGAAGGGGGTGTGGCGAAATTTGGACACGAAACGGTCAAGGTCCGATATCACAGGAGTGTGGATACCAAATTTGGTTGCTCTGGCTCTTATAGGTTCTGAGATCCTTGAACTCATATTTGGCAATTGGCAAAACCGACTATGAAACCTGTGTGTTAGAGTGAGACAGAGCGAGAAAGAGTGAAATTGTTTTCGAGATTCTGGCTGTAATAATTGTACGATCTGGTTCAGATTTTGCACTTTAGAAGATTTAGTCATCTTCTACGATTCTGCGTTTTTAGTTTTCTCGTATCGTCGAAATTGTGGATGCCACAGATTTTCGCCCTTTGTGGGGGCGGAAGTGGGCGGGGCAAAGTTTTGAAATATTTTTGGAGCAGTGACATATCACAGAAGTCTGGATCCAAAACATCGTTGCTCTAGCTCTTATAGTCTTTGAGCATTAGGCGCTGAAGGGGACGGACAGACGGACGGACGGACAGACGGACAGACGGACAGACAGACATGGCTCAATCGACTCGGCTATTGATGCTGATCAAGAATATATATACTTTATGGGGTCGGAAACGATTCCTTCTGGACGTTACACACATCCACTTTTACCACAAATCTAATATACCCCAATACTCATTTTGAGTATCGGGTATAAAAAGCTCAATTTTAAGTAACAGATGTTTTCGTTATCTGTCTACTGACTTTTACACCGACGAGTGTATTTTAGGAACATATTTAAAACAGGCCCAGGCCAAGTCAATGATCTTTTCACGACTATTTGATAGAATTTTATTATACCTGAAATATTGTTCCTATTAGGACGATGACCAGTGTGTACCTATCATAGCATTTATCTAATGCTCGCAGGAGAAACAGCTGTTCTTTCCTCTCTCTCTCTATATTTTGCCTCTTATTTTTTTTTAAATTATTTTCATACGGAATAACAAATTTACGACTGATAAGAATTGCAATTTGAGTTACAGTTACATTTACCCCCAGCAGGGGTCTGGAAAGGCTATCGCCGACGTGTTTGTGTTATTTATTTGAGCTAAAACAACAACAATTATTGCCGCGGCGAAAAATAAGTGCAATGCTGTGGGATTGGGTCGCCTCCTAACGACGCGACCCACGGAGGTTTTCTTATCGCGGTCACTGACGCGTCACAGTTGCTCTTACCTAGGCCTAGGGCCGCACACATAAAAATATTTAATTCAAATTCAAGATTTCAGTTCAAAACGAGGCGTCGTGCGGTGCGGTATTACGGATCTGATCAGCCAAAAAAAAAAAAACAAATACATAAAACACGCAAAACCTGGCTCTCTTTCTCCCTCTCTCAAGCTCTCTTTCGTCGCGTCGCTTAAACATACTGTGCTCTCACTCTCACTCTCTGGAAACGCTGCTGCTGTTGCTGCTGCCCGTTCAACAACTCGCAACACGTGGGCGAGAAAACGAAGAAAGAATTATAAATTCTTAAAAACGTGATTAGTTTTTGTTCTTATCGGCCAGTAATATGTCGCATAGCGTCTTGGTCATCGGCAGCGGCGGGCGGGAGCATGCCATCTGCTGGAAATTGTCGCAGTCGACGCTGGTGAAGCAGATCTATGCCCTGCCTGGCAGCTTTGGCATCCAACAGGTGGAAAAGTGCCGCAATTTGGATGCAAAAGTCTTGGATCCAAAGGATTTTGAAGTGAGTTGAATGATTCCCCCAGCGACCTTGGATTAACCTTCGCGAGTGACTTACAGTTACAGTGTGTGTGCCTGTGTGTGTGTGCACGCTATTTGGGGTGAAGCTTGAGCGTGGAATATTCGGCATTTACTTCGTTTTGGGTATTTTTTTATTGCCGTCTGTGATACATTTTTATGGCTTCTTGAGAGATCTTTGAGATCGCAATGTATATTTTTATGATGCCCCAGAATGTTTTATGCTAAGCCGCCAATAAATCCGCAATCGGAACGATCTTAAAGCTGATCATTCCATTGCACTGCGATCGCCGCTAATCGGTTTAACTTTAACCCTTGAGCGCGCCTTGCATTGCCATTGGAGCTGACGAAAATCGTGGCAAATATTGCAATTCGAGATTATTATTATATGTAGATCTGTGTAACGAGAGTCTGTCAATACGTTATCAATTGCAGGCTGGGATTTGCGTGCATTATTCGAGGTCTAGCAGCTTAACATTTTTGTAATGCATCCAAATTGATTTTAATCATATTTGTGGCTGTCTTTTCTGTGTGGCTTAGTCGGCTCGTAATGTTGATAGATTAAGTGTGATTGGCAGAGAAAATGTATTCTACAATAATAAAGTAGATTTGCTCGTTTAATGGGACTGTTGTCAGGGGACCAGGGTTTTGCTTGTGCAAAACGATCCTCATACGATCACGATTCCACCCCCCTATTGTCTACCCATGTCTAAACATAAATTGAAACTGTCTAGTTTAATTATCTAAATAAAGAATCAAATGCCAAAAGATTGTTCCATCACGTTACCCAGACATTGCCTCACATTAGCGCCTTCTTTTGCGACAGACAACAACAAAAATAAACACAAAATTGGGCCTTTGTTCTTTGTTTTCGCATATAGCTTATGTTTTGCTTAGCACTTCTATATTTATTGTTTTTGTGGCTTAATTAATTGGTAAGATTGAAATTCACAGATTTGCATGGTGTTCTATTGAGACCTGCCCCTAGCACCGATCAACGATCACCGATCATCGGATCATCGGCGTCTCGAATCGTTTTGACGCTGTCTAAGAGGTCGCCGTGTTGGGGCATCCGATAGCGTGGGTGGATGGGTCAAATATATGGTCTTTGGTGTGGAACTTGGCCGGGAACGAGGTGTCGTCTGGTCCTGGATGTTCCGGGTGTAGACATTAAAAGCGGCCGCATCGTGGGCCACTGTCTTGAGCTCGCCCGTATAGTAATCCTTCACCTGGTACGGATGCGCGCGAATGTACTCCAGGGCGCGCAGAATGTAGTCGGGCACTTTGGGAATGTGATCACCCACGGGATGATAGCCGGTCTCGTCGGCCACATAGCTAACACTGATCACAGATCCTTCGGGGGAGGTGTAACTGGAGCCGCCCTGAACGGAGACGCCTCCGAGGCCCTCCTGAGTGGCCGAAATGCCATTGGATGTCTCGTAGGCATAGCGATAGTTACCATCCCGCTCCACCTGGAGATCATTCTGGAGTGTTTTCGTATTCCTATCCGAGTCGGGAATGTAGGCGGCCGCCCGAACCGCCAGCTGCTGCTGCATCACAGCCAGCACTCCAAAGAGACTCATCTGTGGGGTAGAAGATTGATCGATTATAATCCGTTTTCGGGTGTACTGCCATTCTCGTTTCGCCTTTCGGTTTCTTACAAGCAAATGCATGACGGGAGTGGAGTAGAGATCTCTGGGTTCTATCGTCTTTCGAGTATCAAGTGGAACTGTTTGTCTGCTTCTCGTACGCTTTCGTTTTTATATCCATCCGCTTGCCTGTCAGCTTGGATTTTTTTTTGGCAATATTTTTGCCTCGGAAACCCAGTTCCGAAACATCACCGACATGGCTCGTCATCATCATCGTTGCGGCGGCAGCGGGGCCGCTTGCCTTAGTCAGTCATAAATAAAATGATTTTATTTCTTATAAGTATTATTTTATATAGGTATCAGCGATGTTATTTGTCGCCGCTGCAATTCCCAAAGTGTGGGATGGTAAAAATACATACATATACAATATTCGTGAATGGTTATGCCCTACTCGAAGGTTGGGGCACTTACAGTTTCATATATAGTATATTGTGGCTGATCTTGAAATACTTACATGCTCAAGGAACACGAAAATACCATAGCGATCATCGACACTGCGAGTGTCCTTAATTGGCTTCCATTTTGGAATATCAGAGGCAAAAGAAAGTTTCGTCTGAGGAAAATAAGGTTGATTTTATAGATCAAAGATTGTAGTGATTACTGGGGATAACTTCCACTTTATGGCTTCCTACTATAGAATATTGCGAAGGGAATCTGTTGTACGATACTTCAAGACCAAGAACAATACTACTTTCATCTCAGACTTGTAATAAAAATTGTACAGGAAATTGCATTCCAATTCAAGAAAAACTCCAGCAATCAACAGCTCAAAGACCATCTATGGAACACCCCCCAGACAACCCATAATCTTGCTCAATTAATTCAACCACTCTCTTTGTTTTTTATAGTTTTTGTCTGCTAGTTATTATTAGAAATTGCATAGCATCATAAATGATGAATGAAGTGTTATCTCTAAGCATATATTTTGATCATTAGACACAAACTTTATCAAAATTACGCGTATCCCTCCGATTATTTGATACGTCTTCTTTTTGTTGTTGTTTTTGCTGGCTAATTCCGAAAATAAAAACCCGTACCGGTTCGACTAATTCACCAAACCGTATCTAATTCTGATTCCCTCCCCAAACTCTTATCCGCAAACAAATGTATCAGCATTCCTTGCTTCAATACCCCGATTCCCATTCGCTGGCTCCCCCACATAATTTGCATATAATACAGTAAATCATGAGCGCACTCTGTAAAGCATAAAGACGAAAACGTTCTAGCCAAATTTGGCAAGTAGTCGACGCTCGCTCAGGTCAGAGATTCCGAACGACATATATAAAGGCAAAAGTCTTTCAAGACTTCTCTTACTCGGTTTATACGAAGTAGATTTGATGAAAAGCTGTGAAAAGTGAATGAAATCAGGAATTAGGAAGGCGCAGCCAACTTCTGTCCTTACAGGAATCAAGGGGGAAAACCAAAAACAGCTGATGATCAACTGTACAAATCTCTTCTGAAAGCAAAAACAAAGAAATCATACTGCAAAAAAGGAATTAAATGGAAAGTAAGAGAGATCTCTGTCCTATTCCAAAGATATAGAAGCGGCGAAGCCGCTAGATCTGGCAACTTGCCTTCATTAATATCATGAATTCAGCTTCGTATAAACATAGTATACCTCTATCTGTCATAAGCCTTCATTTGCGAGTATGTAGATGGTTAGATGGTGCTTGCCTTTCGACTCATTCTTCTTGATCGCGCCTAACCTTCGTTACGGGAAATTAAAACCTTGACCAGCTTTGCTCTTAATTTGGAAAGCCCAAATAGCTCTTAAAAGACGTCATATTTAGCAGCAAAATTGGAGAGCATGCGGCCGTGTGAACGTTCTTGAACTCTTAGGAAATCGGGATGATTCTTTGCCCAAGTGCTAAACGGTCTGGAACGCAGACGATTGCAATTTCAACTCCGTGTTTCGTCGACTCTGCTGTTGTGGGGGCAAACCAACCGAAATTCTGCGTTGGCGCCGATACGAATTAGAACTGAGGTAACGAAGCACCAGAGAACCGGACCAGAACAGCCCCGGATTACTGTGGTTGGTTGACATGGCTCTGACATAGCTGGCGCCTTAGTCAGTCGCATCGTTCGTTGATTTCGCTGTTGATCCACACGCTGGCTCACGTTTGCCCGATCGAAAGACAATGCACCCGTACCGCCGGAGAGACCCAGTTTAATGGCAAAACAATTAGGAAGGCATTTAGTATTTTGGCGACAAATTGGCGAATGGAACCGGTTGAGTACTTAGAGGAGTGTTATCTTCCATTTGGGGAATGTGGTTACAAAGAGGAGAGAGAGAATCCCCCGCCCAAAGAAGTTGCAGTGCGATCATGACCCGGTTAGATGTTAGATGGGGAAATCCAATTATGATCTCTGTTGATTGGGGATTGGTTTTTGATGCAAATTGTATTCAATGCCAATTCTGAAATTCTTAGAGAAGAGGTATTGATGGGGAGAGGGTAAAAGCAGGGATATGAGAATATTTAGATGGGATTTGGAGTTAGGAACGGCTAAAGATAACGATAGTATACAAATTATAAGTAAAATGGAAGAGAAGTTTGGAAAGAAACAGTTTTATTTCTCATAAATTTCATTATTTTCCATACAATTTCCACCTAAAGAATGGTTATCATATGATATTTTAAATTTAAAAAACGCAGAACCTTCCTTTTAAATCAAGTAGATCTTTTCGTTACATTTTTATATGAAATTTTAAAATGAAAGATGCAATTTTTTTCATCAGTGTATCGTTTTATAAAGAACAAAGCCGATGCCAAATAAATAACTCGGGTTTGCGTTGAATTCAAATTCAAACCGTACGGTTCTCCGATTATAAACATCACACCAAATATTTGTATCTTAATTAATTTTAAATTGCATGATTACTTAGCTTATGGAGACCTGTGTCGTCGCGGATAATGAATAACCCGAATATTTCAAATGGCTTGGAAAAAATATATAGATCGAAAATTTGCATGATTAAAATATCTGTGTATTTTTCAGGGGAGTGATATTTAATATTCTTTCTATAAGAAATTTTTAATATTTTAATGAAATATTATAATATATTCTTTCGTCTCTTGAGTTGTATTAAAATGCTACAAAAATGGAATACAAATTTACTAAATTTTAGTAGGATATTATGGCAAGATGAAGGGGTTTTCAAAGGGTTTGGTTATCTATAAGGAACAACATTTTTGGGTTATGAGGTTTTTAAAATATGAATTAAAGATCGAACAGACCTATTGTATTGGGCAGTATCCCCAATAACATAGTTCCAGCGGTTCCCCAGATCATCATTAAATCTTTTGAATACGCTCCAAGGAGAAGATTGGGGGGAATTCTGAGGTTTAAGGACGCTTCGAAGGCAGGAAGGAATCGGGATTTTTCAGAACCTTTCGAAGATGGGAAGGAAAAGGCAAAGATTCTATCTTTGGCACAAGGACCACTTTCCGAGTTGGAAATACGGAAATATTAATGTTCTTCATCAAATATTAGAAGTATAGAATAGACAGAATCTTATTTCTAGGAACATCTAAATGCGATTCCCAAAAACTCAACATATTTATGGATGGTAATAGATCAATAATCATAAATCTATTCTAATCTTGATATACATATTTCTTGCCCTGTTCTTCCTTCAGGCCATTGCCAAATGGAGCAAGAAAAATGAAATCTCTCTAGTGGTCGTTGGACCCGAAGATCCCTTGGCCTTGGGTCTGGGCGATGTGCTGCAAAAGGAGGGCATCCCATGCTTTGGACCCGGCAAGCAGGGGGCCCAAATCGAGGCGGACAAGAAGTGGGCCAAGGACTTTATGCTGCGCCATGGAATACCAACGGCTCGCTATGAGAGCTTCACGGATACGAACAAGGCCAAGGCGTTCATCAGGAGGTGAGAAACGAATCTCTTGGAATGGAAATTAGATTCGAATAAATGATGCCCTCTCTTCCAGTGCACCCTATCAGGCTCTGGTGGTAAAGGCCGCTGGTTTGGCTGCAGGCAAGGGTGTTGTGGTGGCCGCCAATGTGGATGAAGCCTGCCAAGCGGTGGATGAGATATTGGGAGACCTGAAATACGGACAAGCTGGGGCCACCCTTGTCGTAGAGGAGCTCCTCGAGGGCGAGGAAATATCGGTTCTAGCCTTCACCGATGGCAAGAGTGTTAGGGCCATGTTGCCTGCCCAGGATCATAAGCGTTTGGGCAATGGAGATACAGGACCAAACACCGGAGGAATGGGCGCCTACTGTCCCTGTCCTTTGATCAGTCAGCCCGCGTTGGAGCTGGTCCAGCGAGCCGTGCTGGAGAGAGCTGTTCAGGGTCTGATCAAGGAGCGCATCACCTATCAGGGTGTTCTCTATGCGGGACTCATGCTGACACGCGATGGTCCCCGCGTCCTCGAGTTCAACTGTCGCTTTGGCGATCCCGAAACGCAGGTCATTCTGCCGCTCCTCGAAACGGATCTTTTCGAGGTGATGCAGGCCTGCTGCAGCGGTCAGCTGGATAGGCTGCCCCTCCAGTGGCGCAGCGGCGTGAGTGCTGTGGGTGTGGTCCTCGCAAGTGCTGGCTATCCAGAGACCTCCACGAAGGGCTGCCTCATCACTGGTAAGGTTTCCGTGTGCTCTTTCCATTAAATCTATATTAATTTGTTTCATTTTCTAGGACTGCCTGATGTCAATTCGCCCACTCAATTGATTTTCCACAGCGGTCTCTCTGTAAACAAACAAAAGGAGGCCCTCACGAATGGCGGACGTGTGCTGATAGCCATTGCCTTGGATGCCAGCCTCAAGGAGGCGGCTGCAAAGGCCACAAAACTCGCAGGAACTATCACTTTTGCCGGCACAGGAGCTCAGTATCGCACGGACATTGCCCAGAAAGCATTTAAAATGTAATTCAAAAGACGTTTACTCAATGTGTATATAAAGCCAATGAAGATAGGGAGATTTGGGGTCCTAAAAGATGGGAGATTGAAGCTATTGATTGATAGAACTCTTACTAAAGATTATTATGCTATAGATATAATTATTGATCCTCGACAGATGAAATTTTGCCAGAAAAACTATTGATCTTTAATCTGTAAAGTATGGAAATGGTTCCATTTTGTATTCAAATCTTTATCAGAAGTCCTATAAAGGGTGGAAATTGTCAGTTTTTCATGCACAAGCATTTCAGGCATCGTTCGGATCCTCAAAAATTCAAAAATTAATCTCCTCTTAGCCTCTAAAAACTCTTATTACTGTGAGATTTTGTTTGATCTGTCACCTTTTCGAAGTCTTGTTCGGGATCGTAACTTATTTTAGGTCAAAATTATAATCTTTCCGCAAATATCAAATGTTCTACATAGAAATCAAGTGTTGGAACCTTTAAAACCTTGAAATTTCATTGAGTATTACAATCGTTTCAATCTTCTATTATTTTTGGGTCTTGATTCAACTTATAATCTATCTAAAATGGAGATTCTCACTAGGTTTCCCCTAGTACAACCTTCATCTTTATCTTTCTTAATGTTTTCCTTGCCTCTAATAAAGTATTTAAACATATAACTAATATATTACTTTTCTTTTCCACATCAGAGCCATTGCCACGGCGCCAGGCCTCAGCTACAAAGACAGCGGCGTGGACATTGATGCCGGCGATGCTTTGGTCCAACGCATTAAGCCCTTGTCGCGTGGCACTCAAAGACCTGGGGTCCTTGGCGGTTTGGGTGGCTTTGGTGGTCTGTTTCGGCTGAAGGATCTCAGCTACAAGGAGCCCGTAATTGCAGAGGCCACGCAGGGTGTGGGCGCCAAGATCCAGTTGGCCCTGCAGAATGAATTGTATGAGAATATTGGTTACGATCTGTTTGCCATGTCTGCCAATGATCTGCTGGAACTGGGCGCCGAGCCGGTAGCTTTTCTGGATTACATAGCCTGTGGCAAGCTGCATGTGCCACTGGCCGCTCAGCTCGTGAAGGGAATGGCTGATGGCTGTCGGGATGCCAAGTGCGCATTAGTAGGTGCGTATCTAATCGAAGGAGAGGCAGTCTTTGAGGAAGATAATTAATAACTATATAATATATCCCATCCAGGTGGCGAAACAGCGGAGATGCCCTCGCTGTATGCCCCCGGGCAGCACGACATGGCCGGCTACTGTGTGGGCATCGTAGAGCAGGCTCGTGTCCTGCCACGCTTTGATCTGTACGAACCGGAGGATCTGCTCGTGGGCCTGCCGTCCTCGGGCCTCCACTGTGCTGGCTTCAACGAGATCCTCACCCAGTTGGCCGCTTCGAAAGTGAATCTCAAGGAGTGCTCTCCTGTCGGCGGGGGCAAGCATGGCCTTAGCCTGGCCCAGGTCCTGGGCACGCCCACACGCCTGTACGTGCAACAGCTGCTTCCCCATCTGCAGGCTGGCAACCAGATCAAAGCTGTGGCCCATGTCACGCATGGCCTGCTGCACGATGTCCAGCGCTTGCTGCCCGAAGGGTTCGAGGTCACCCTCGACTTTGGTGCAGTGCCCGTCCCTGATGTCTTTGGCTGGCTGGCGGGACAGCTGCAGCTGAGTGCCCAGACCCTGCTGGAGCGACACAACTGCGGCATTGGCATGGTGCTGGTTCTCCCACAAAGCAGTCTTCTGTGGCGCACAGCCCTGCCGGGGGCCAAGGTTCTGGGCGTGCTGAATCGTCAAGCGAAAGACTCCGGCGGTGCTCCGCGCGTGAAAGTGCGAAATTTTGTGGAGCAACTGCAGAAGTTGGCTGCACCCTTTGGGGGATTGGGCGAATCGCAGCTGCCCGAGGAAGTCAAGGATGTGCCCACTTCGGGAGTGAAGGCAACGACACGTGAAGAATGCTTTGAAAATGCCGTGGGACGTCGCCTGACCCGCGTGCCCAATCATTACGTGGATCCCATACTCATCTTGGGTACCGATGGTGTGGGCACCAAGCTGAAGATTGCCCAGCAGACCCATCGGAATGCCAGCGTGGGCATCGATCTGGTGGCCATGTGCGTCAACGATATACTCTGCAATGGCGCCGAACCATTTAGCTTTTCCAGCTATTATGCATGCGGCAAATGGCAGGCGGCCTTGGCTGCGGAAGTCAACGCTGGCGTACAGGAAGGCGCCAGCCAGGCCAATAGTAGTTTTGTGGGTATGTTTTGGGTGGATCATTCTTCTGCTGATTCACATACTAATGCCATTTCCTCTCGATCCCATAGCCTCCCATAGTGCTGCCCTACCACTCCTGTACGAGCCGCAGGTCTATGATCTGGCTGGCTTTGCTTTGGGCATAGCCGAACGCTCGGGCATCCTGCCACGCCTGGATGAGATTCAGCCCGGAGATGTGCTTATTGGCTTGCCGTCATCGGGTGTCCACAGCAACGGTTTCAGCCTCGTTCATGCGGTGCTCAAGCGTGCCGGCTTGGGCCTCAACGATCGGGCGCCATTCAGCGAGAAAACACTGGGGGAGGAGCTCCTAGTGCCCACCAAGATCTATGTGAAGGCATTGTCCGCGCTGCTCTCTCGACCCAATCATGGGATCAAGGCGCTGGCGCACATCACGGGCGGTGGCCTGAGCGAGAATATACCCCGAGTGCTGCGCAAGGAATTGGCCGTTCGATTGGACGCCAACAAATACCCGCTGCCTCCAGTGTTTGCCTGGCTGGCATCAGCAGGAAACATCAGCTCCACAGAGCTGCAGAGGACCTACAACTGTGGCTTGGGTCTGGTGTTGGTGGTGGGAGCCACGGAAGTGGATGGCGTGCTCCGGGAGCTCCGCTATCCACACCGCGCCTCTGTTGTGGGCGAAGTAGTGGCCCGAAAGGATCCGAAGAAACCCCAGGTGGTGGTCCAGAACTTTGAGGCATCGCTGACCAGGACCCAGAGAATGCTATCTCAACCACGGAAACGCGTTGCAGTGCTCATTTCAGGAAAAGGCAGCAATCTGCAGGCCCTCATCGATGCCATCCGTGACTCGGCTCAGGGCGTGTACGCAGAGATTGTCCTCGTCATCAGCAACAAGGCGGGTGTCTTGGGTCTGGAGAGGGCCGCCAAGGCGGGCATACCCTCGATGGTCATTTCGCACAAGGACTTCCCCAGTCGCGAGGTCTACGATGTTGAACTAACGCGCCATCTCAAGACAGCTCGCGTGGAGTTCATCTGCCTGGCGGGCTTCATGCGCATCCTCAGTGTTCCCTTTGTACGCGAATGGCGTGGCCGTCTAATCAACATTCATCCCTCGCTGCTGCCTAAATTTCCGGGGCTACATGTCCAAAAGCAGGCCCTGGAGGCGGGTGAAACAGAGTCCGGGTGCACGGTTCACTATGTGGACGAGGGCGTCGACACGGGAGCCATACTCGTTCAGGCCGCTGTTCCCATACTGCCCGGGGATGATGAGGAGACGTTGACCCAGCGCATCCATTATGCCGAACATTGGGCTTTTCCGCGTGCACTGGCGCTGTTGGCCAGCGGTGCCCTGCGTCGGGTGTCAGAGGTAAAGAAGGAGGCGCCAAAGGATATCAAGGATAGCCAGTGAAGTGAGAAGACAATAAAAACTTTAGTTTTTGTAAGTTTTTGACGCCCTCCAAGGGATTACTTTTATATCGACAAACAATTTCTCTTTTGGTTAAGACTGGATTCCATGTTTTTTATAGATAACAAACCTATTTAAAATATTTAAACGTATTCTCTACAACTAATATCACGGGGGGATGCTTTCATATTCGATATCAATCACAAAAGACGGGTAATCAGGTCGAAAATATTGCTTTTGAAAGTGTTTTCCGACTGCTCATCCTTCGCTTTGTATTGGACTGCAGGACGCTTCTGATTACGTTTTAAGTCCGGCTCCTTAAACACCATGGCGGCCACGCGGTCCAGGCGATAGCGAAAGAACTGATTCTTGAGTATGGGCACAATCAGATTGTACTTATCAATCATCTTGTTCAGCTCCTGGACCTCCTCCTCGTGGTCTTGTGTGAACCTTAGCCAGGCGGCCTGCTCTTCGGCATTCTGTAGCGGCCAATCGCCGTAGTAGACGCGCTCCTTGCGCACTGTCTTCAATAGCTGCATCCGTGCATCGCGTATTTCCTTGCCGAGGGTGATCCATTCCGGTGTGAAGCCATTGTCGAGCATTATCTTGTTCAGTTTGTGGGTGGTAAAGTCCAGGTAGGGATTCTGCGACTGGGCGGAGGACAGGGGCTTGCCAGAGCCGTTGAGATTGTTAAAGTCGCCCTTGGACATGGCCTCCTGGATGAGATCCTCCACCACACGATCAATGCCGTATTTGGTTTTGATGGCGTGCTTCTGAAAATGGTTTCCCTCCTTGGATATGAGGTCGCTGTCGCCGGCGGCCGCCTTGTCGATGCGATGCTCGAGGACACGCTCTTGGGCCTTCATGGCGCGCACCTGCTGGTACTGTTTCTGGCGCTGAAAGGGGGTGCCCACGCCAATGCCCTCGTTGGAAAGATACTGTCGGTGCTGTGGGGCCGTGTGCTTGATGTCAAACTCCATGGCTTGCTCCTCGTCCTCCTGGATGTTGCGGCGACCCTTCGCGAACTTCTCCTGCAGCAGCTTAAAGGCCTCGTCCACCTGTTGGAAGCGTTCAGCACTGGCCTCGTCGCATCCAGAGTCCGGATGGACGCGTTTCACCAAATCCAAATACGCCTGACGCACGGTGTTCTGATCCGCGCCCTCGCAGACGCCCAGGATGCGAAAGCATTGCTAAAATGGAGGATTACATAAGCAATTCGTTGCAGCAGAGTATTCGTTTTACCTACCAAATAGACCTCACGGCGTTTCAGGTGCACTTCCCGCAAGGCGATGCGGCCGCCCGCGGATCCAATCAAGCTCCCAAAAAGTTTTCCAGCTTTCAACATTTTGTAGTTCTGAACAGCTGCCCAGCTGTAGATTTTTAGTTGTGAGTTTTGTAAGCAACTTGAATGCCAACACACTCACTCTGACGGTTAATTCATTCATAATACTATATTTTGTTTGTTTGTTTTTGTTGTTGCTGCGTACAGCTGTTCGTAGTATAAACTTGGTCACAAGTGGAAATGCAATATGGTTATATGACATGGTTATATGGATGAAAATATGTTAATAATACAACGGGTTTTTTAACTCTAAATATATGCTATATATATAAATAAAAATCAAGCACCTTTCGATATTCCTGTTCGTTTTGGCTCTTTGCAAACACTGATGATAATTATATTTTGGTCAGATGTGGTAGCACTTTTAATGGCGGCGCAAATTTTTAAAGTTGTTGAGCCACAACCATACTGTGCCACTAACTGTGTCTGTGTAATGGCTGCCGAGCTTGGCCCGTTTTACAGAAAAAAACACAAACTAAATATTATCCTGCATTCATATATAGTTGCGAATAGTGTGCATAATATTATGTACTATATTACAGCCAGCAGGCTAATATTTTCTTCGATTTAAATAAGTTGCCGTCCATAAAATTGTACATATGTATGTACATACATATACAAATATGTACAGTAAACTGTGTCTTGTCTGTGTATTCGCTTCGGCGTCTGTTGCTGTGCGTTTTGCAGAGACAAACACATGCAAATTGCATTGATTTCATTCCATAGCATCAACATTTGTATTATTAACAAATAAACACTCAACTTACTTGTCAAAACCGTATTTTTATCTATGAAACACACAGTTTTAAGTAAAATGGCGCCAAACGCAGCTTTGTTTATGATTATCAGTGTGACTGCGGTTTTATACCGTCTGACCCTCAGAAAATCTACCAAAATATACCGTAAATATACAGACGATATAGAAATTTTTTGAAAGTGAATCCGCGACTAGGATTAAAATGCAATCCGTTGGAATAAATGCGTATGGAATTTTCTATACCCTTTGCTCTTAAATATACCTTTAAAAATTAACTTTAATAGATTGATGAACTTGATCAAGTATACCATATACCGTAAGTATACCGTTGGCTCAATTGGGACCTCAAAAAATACCGAAAACGGTCACCCTGCTGCACTGTCAAGTGGCCCGTGTGAAACCAGCAGAAGGCTGTTACGCGCGAATCCCAGGCAAAACGCAGCCCTCCGACCGAGGGGCGCTGCCGCATGACGCGCGGTGCGTAGCCGAACCGAACGCGAACATGCAAGAAAGATAGCTATTAGACTAACATTCGAGGAAAATTATCACTAAACTTACTAAAAAACTAAGCATGCAATCAAAATACAAATACCACTACAATTACTAATTACTAGAAAGGTGTGTAAGGATTAGTAAGGATTTAATAAGAATTAGTGGTGGATATAATATGGTAGAGGGAATTATAATCCGAGCATAAGACCCTAAACGGTTCATGCAAGGAATAATTCGATCTACAAAGTGGAAGGAACAACGGTATAAAGTTTCTAGTCAGTCTAATAGGAATCGTGAAGTTTATGCGGCTCAACAGATCAGGGCTGTCTATGTCACCCCTGATCAAGTTGTGCATAAATATCACACCAAGCATTTTTCTACGGTTAACTAAGGATGGGAGGTTTACTAATAGTTGTCTACTAGAGTAAGATGGGAGTCTTACACCCGCATTCCAGTTAAGGCCCCGCAAAGCAAAGAGTAAAAAGTTTTTCTGTACTGATTCTATACGGTCCTGGTGTACTTTGTACTGAGGGCACCATACACAGGAGCCGTATTCTAAGATCGGACGAACAAGCGAGGTATAGAAAGTCTTTGTTATATAGGGGTCGTCAAATTCCTTTGACCACCTCTTTATAAACCCAAGCACGCCCATGGCCTTATTTACCATGGTAGAAATAAGTTCGGAAAACTTTAACTTGGGGTCTAACATAACACACATAACACATCCACCAGGGTAATTCTCTTAAGAGAACGACCAAATAGGGTGTAGGGAGCCAACAAAGGGCTAGAACGATGAAATGTCATAACTTTGCATTTCGAGGCATTAAGGTGTAACAAGTTTGCACAACACCATGACAGAAAGCTATTGAGATCGGATTGCAAGCGAGAATGAAATGAAATGTCCTTGTACTGGACACAGAGTTCAACATCATCCGCATACATAAGTACTCGAGAGTATGTTAATACTGAAGGCAAGTCATTAATAAAGAGTGTGAAGAGTAAGGGGCCTAGATGGCTGCCCTGTGGTACTCCCGAAGAAACCGAAGAGGTAAACTCTAACACGTTCGTGGTGATTGATCGCCGCCTTATAAATCCATGCTGAGTTGTAGATATAAGTGACTTGAAGAGATGTTGCAAGTGCGGAGTTAAAACCTTCTCAAACATTTTGGGAATAGCGGATAACTTTGCTATACCTCTATAATTTTTTGCATCAGACTTGCTACCTTTTTTATGGAGAGGAATTATAAACGGTTCCTTCCAGATTGGGGGGAAGCAAGAGGAATCAATGGATAGGGTGAATAGTTTAAGCAAAGGTCCACACAGAGCCTCAGCGCAGTACCTGAGTACACAACCTGGAACCCCGCCTGGACCCGGTGAAAACACTGGCTTAACTAGTCGAAGATAATGAAGTAGGGAACATTCATTTAACAAGGGACTGAAAATGCCGTTCGATCTCGGTAAACCGTATGGTAGCTTTCCTCAGAATAGGTGGTTTGGAAAAACTGGGCAAAAAGATCGGCAATTGCCTGATCATTATTTGCCGACGTATTACAAAATGATAGCGAGGATGGGTGTGCTCTCTTTGGTAAACCAAGGGGGTTTTCCAGATCTAATCGGACAAGAAAGCGGGACACAAAAATCAAAAAATGTGCCAAGAGCATTGTAAAAAATTGTTGTGCCTTTTGTGACATCAGTGCACAAGTACAAAACGGACCAATCAAAATCCCTAATGAGGTTATTAAGCTTCGTAAACTCGGCTTTACGAAAGCAGCGGACACGTTCAGGTAGTCCACTCGACCAGTTGGTCCTATATCAATACAGTTGGTCCTATATCTAGCGACACCTCGAAAGTAGGGTGGTAGGCGTCTTCAGGTATAGTGAGCGGAAGGGCTCGGGTTAACAACACTATGGTCGGATCCGATACAAAGCATAGATCAAGCAAACGACCCAAGGAATTTTTCACATGATTGACTTGAGACAGGGACAGGTCAAGCAAGCCGTCAACAAAGTCATGTCGTGACATGGGCACTAGGATACTAGACTCGTTTACCGAAGACCAAACTGTTCCTGGCAAGTTGAAGTCACCAACTTTAACTTTTTTAAATTTAAATGTAAACGACTGTCCCGTTTTCATTTGAATATGCATTTATAGGTAATTTGCAAAAAAAAGTATTCCATTCCTACCTGTTCCTGAACAGTATTACAGTATGACCACAGTATCATTTAATTTTTGAAAATGCCAATAACTGCAAACGATATTTTGACATCGATAGCAAATGGAAGTGTAAAACTTGCGTATTCAGCCCTGGGGTAATTTTAAAACTTTGACGGTGGACGACGGAAATTATTCAACGGAAAATGAATGATTTACCAACAAATTCTGGGCATTCTCGTGGACGCGGGCGCGGAACAAAACAGAAGGACGATGCAAACCGTGGCTTGGGTCTGCAGTTGGTAAGAAAACTAAATTAAATACAATGTATGTATATGCTTTACAGGCAGTATTGATATATAGTTTGCACATCGCGTTTTTTTAAACATACAGAACTCAAATTCACAGTAATTAAGTAATTTCACTTTAATTTGTGTATTAACATGTTAAAAAAGTGATGTATATAAATGGTTACCGGAATAATATTGCAGCTTTTTACTGAACAGCTTAATTGGTGCACCTATTCTTGAATGTGTCTTTAGAAAACTTTGATGTTCAAGTTTGTATAACTTTGCATGTGCTAAAAGTATACAATATTATATTGTTTTTGCAAATACTGAATGAACGTACGTATGTACGTATTTCCACTTTATGCTTTTGGATCAATACTTCTATCAATCCCGAATAATTGCGCTTTGGATAACCGTCGTGCTGAAATTTGCATAGAATTAGTGTGGGTTTCTTGGCCTGCTATGTTATAATATCTGTCTCTAAACATGTTTAAAACCATAACACAAACCTATTAATACATATGTGCTGGGTTTATGCATATGTAACTAAGCGAATGGAGTTCAAATTGGATCGGTCGAAAAGCTAGTCTGTGAGAGCATTTATGTAGCATTCATGTACAAATACTCAAAAAGAGTATTGTGGAATATTAGATTGTGGAGAAAGTGGGAAAGGAAGCGTTTTCGATAGCCGAGTTGATTGAGCCACTTTTGCCTGTCTGTCTTGTTCGATGCCTAGTTCTCACAGATACTAAGATCTAGAGCAACCAAATTTTGTACCCAGACTCCTGTTATATCACACTGAATCAAGTTTGTTTCAAACGTTTTCTTTTGCAACGCCTCTTTCCTCCCCCACATGGGGCGAACAACTGTGGCATCCACAATTTTGAAGATACAAATTGGCGAATCTGGATCAGATCATTTAATTTCAAGATTTTTTCCTCTCTCACACAGTTTTTGTTGTTCAATGTAATCGTCCTCTGGCGCAGGGAAGTCATACTGTCTAAGTATTGGCTATAAGTATGGAGCTGCGGCCATAGCAGCAACTCGCAACGTTCCCCCCGTTTTTATTTTACTTTTGAACTAGAAATTAATATTGGGTATGCCCTCCTTATTGTTTATAACCTTTTCCAAACAATATCAGTCACAAATTCTCAATGCCTTTTAAAGTCAGGCTTTTGAACCGAAGAATTCATCAAGGAGGGACATAATTAAATTAGAAAAATTCAAGGAATTCACGATTTTTGTTGTCCTGATAAAATCAAAAACCATCTTTTATCCCGAATTTTTTTAAATATTTAACCGGTTCTTCATTTCAAGCTCTATAGTTGGTTCTCTCCAGAAATGTGTGTTCCAACGGAGCAAAATCCCTTTTTGGCCTTTTTTAACGAAGCTAAAACTCCTGTTCTGTTGAACTATTTTGTGTTATTCTGTCTCTTATTTGGTATAGAATATAAGCATTTATGTAAAAACATACGAATTTATCGCTTTGTAGGGGCAATCTTCTAACGAGGCTCGTCCGGATAAACCTGTCCCCCCAGCGGACGCGTTAAAAACGTCGGAGGTCATACCCAAGTCTAAGGATACTGAAGCTCAAGCCATTGAAGGTATTGGTTTTGTTCTTTTTGTGATTAATTTAATTTCCAATGTTTTTCTTACTAGGCGATCCTCGTGGGTCTGTACGTGGACGACGCGTAATAACTGAAGTTGTGCACTCTCGTCCTCAGGGACTTACAACCAAAGCTGGAATCAGCGGCACGAAAATAAATGTCCAAACCAATTATTTTAAGCTGTTAAAACGTCCATGCTGGACCATTTTCCAGTACCGGGTTGATTTTGAACCTGAAGTCGACAACACACGTTACCGTCGTGGGTACCTTTACGAACATAAAAACATATTGGGTGGATACATTTTCGACGGAACTATTTTATTCTGCACAACTCAGTTCAACTTCAAGGAATTAGTGACAAAAAATCACGCAGGAGAGAACATTACCATCAAAATTAAGTATGTTGGTTTAGTTGAAGCAGCTGACAATCAACAATTCCAAGTGCTTAATCTTCTCTTACGAAAAGCAATGGAGAGTCTTAGTCTCCAGCTTGTATCCCGCAACTATTATGATGCTAAGGCGAAGGTACGTCACTTTGCACTAACAAAAATGAATTTAATTAATATACTTGCCATGTAAATATATATTTATACCATTTTTATATGGATTTTCATATTGTTACAGCAGCAGGAATTATTTCTCTAATATGTAAATGTGAACCAAAAATTTTAATCTTAACGCCTCTCAATCTTAATCTTATGTGTACCTAGTTGAAATCTGCATGAATGGTAAAAAAAACCGGCATTCGAATCCTACCAAGCTGTAACATAATGGCTCCCTAACATAATGCCTTTCCATCATCGTATGCATTGGTTTTTTTACTCGAATGTAATGATGAAGTCACCAACATTATCCGCATTAAAGGATGCAAAACCAAAGAAATTATTATAAATTTAATTTTGAAGAAAATTTTGAAAAATACCAAACAGATAGTGCCGTTTCTATTATCTTACCATGCGCAGAAATATAAATTTAGTCGCATTAAAATATTCCCGGTTTCCCTGAAATCGGCGTGGGAATGGCTGGATGCAAAACTTTGGTAAAAATCTTTTATTTTGACTCTCACTTTAAAAGTGTTTGAGGGTCAAAAAACGAACTAGATGTTATTAGTTATTGACAACTTGCAATAAGTTTTTTCTGCTGCTATTAATAATCTAAAAATATTGGCTCATTGTTGGCTGCTGCGACGGCAATTATTTTCAGTAGCGTACGTAGCAAAAATCAAATCAGGGAAAACACAAATTTCACAATTCTTATTATTATATTATTATTAAAATGTTTGAAATATCTTTACAAACGAAAAATAACGACGGTTGTGTTTTAATTTCTGCTAAAGATTAAACTTAATAATTACCGCGTGGAATTGTGGCCTGGATATCAAACATCGATTCGTCAACACGAGTCTGATATATTATTGTGTGCCGAGGTCGTTCATAAGGTAATGAGAACGGATACCTTGTATGACATCCTAAGTGAGGCGATTCGGGATACCGAAAACTTTAAAGATGCTTTTCGACGCCAAGTAATGGGTGAGACTTCCATATTTACATATGCATATATACATAAATTTGTGCATAAGCCTGTGCGACCAATTAGATTAATGACTCGTAATTGCATTTGTTATACACAAAATATTAGTAGATGTGAAAAGGCAAAATCTCAGGATTAAGTCGAGCTATTGCAACTCAAAAGGTATGACTGTAGGTTGTTTCTTAGGATAACCGAACGAAAAAACTATAAAAATTGGGGCGTTTACTAACTCTGCAGTCGTAACACTTACTAAAGCAATATATATACTTTTTAGCAGGTACAACTTATTGATGGTTGTATATTTACGCATTTATTCTCTTCCCCAGGTATGATATGTCTTACTGATTACAACAATAAAACCTATCGCATCGATGATGTCGACTTTGGATTGAACCCCTTGTGTAAGTTTAACACTAAAGATGGAGATATATCGTATGTGGAATATTATAAAAAGGTAAGTTTTCATAAAGGTATTATTACATCGGTACAAAAATACACAAAATACATAAAAAGCAAGTTTAAGTGCACCTGGAGTTTCGCCCCTTGAGCACCTAGTTTTGTTACACTATTAATGTATGAGCACCGCAAATGTTCTTCCGTTTACAACCGAAAATCATAAAGGTATTGAATCATAAAGAATGATCCTATATAAAAGAGCATCAAAACGCGATCAACAGAAATTGGAATGTACAATGTTAAGGCAAATAGTAATTTAATCTTTTGTTTAATTTTAGAAATCATTTTACTGTTCTACTATTTCGATTTTTAGAGATATAATATCACAATTCGTGACCATAAGCAGCCATTGGTGGTGTCACGACCTACCGAGAAAAACATTCGTGGTGGCACGGATCAGCTTATTATGCTAGTTCCCGAATTGGCTCGAGCTACTGGAATGACTGATGCTATGCGAGCAAATTTTCAGTATGTCTTTTATTCTATTCAAAGTTTTTGTTGTTAATATTTCTAATATCAAAATTGGTTCGTTACTCTTAAATTAGATTAATGAAAGCAATGAGCGAGTTTACCAGATTGAATCCGGACCGTCGCATTGAACGCCTGCGCGCATTCAACAAGCGCTTGCAATCGTCGAAAGAGAGCATGGATGTGTTAAAATCGTGGAATATTGAACTTGATACAGCTTTGGTGGACATCCCAGCTCGCGTTTTATTTCCTGAGAAAATAGTTTTTGGCAATCAAAAGCGATTCGTATGCGATAACCGTGCTGATTGGACTATGGAATTCCGAAATAACTCAATGTACTCGCATGTGGACAAAAAATACGTTTTTGACAAGTAAGTTGAGTGTTTATTTGTTCATAATACAAATGTTGATGCTATGGAATGAAATGAATGCAATTTGCATGTGTTTGTCTCTGCAAAACGCACATCAACAGACGCCGAAGCTAATACACAGACAAAACACAGTTTACCGTACATATTTGTATATGTACAATTTTATGGACGGCAGCTTATTTAAATCGAAGAAAATATTAGCCTTCTGGCTGTAATATAGTACATAATATTATGCACACTATTCGCAACTATATATGAATGCAGGATAATATTTAGTTTGTGTTTTTTTCTGTAAAACGGGCCAAGCTCGGCAGCCATTACACAGACACAGTTTACCGTTGGAATGTACATATGTATGCATGCATGTACATATTTAATATACCGCGTAAATTAAATATACCACAAGAAATTCTCCATTGTTAGTTGGAAAGCTTAATATTTTCGAAAAGGTAAGCGAAAGCTACAAAGTGCATGTATTCGATTTATAGCTGCCTTTTTCGGCTTTACGGAATGACAAAGTTCAATAAAACTAGATGTCAGATACTTAAGTTACGTGAAAAAAGAAGGTAGTCCACCTTTTAAAAAAGAGCAAAATCACAGCGGGGAAAAAATAGTGTAACATCAAAAATACAATATTTCAAGCAAAACCAATCCTACAAAAGGGCTTATAACATTTTTAAAAATATTGAAACTTTTTTATGGTTCAATTATTTTAATTTTGTGTAATATTTTTGCGAAAATTTTGACTTTGAAAACTCGGAAAACTTCGAAATGAATTTATTCTTTAGGGCTTTGTATTTTTTTGGTATAGGTACGTTAATTACGCGTCTTTTAAGGTATTGTTTGTAAAAATCTATAGATAAACTATTAAACGGCAGCCTTTTGTCCATACCTTCAAATGCCACATTTTGGCGGTATATTTCTGCGAAATGTTGACTTTGGAAACTCGGAGAAGTTGGAACTAAATTTATTCCTTGGGGGTTTTACATGCTTAGTATAGGTACGTTAACTACGCGTCTTTTAAGGTATCGTTTGTAAAAATCTATAGATAAACTATTAAACGGCAGCCTTTTGTCCATACCTTCAAATGCCACATTTTGGCGGTATAATTCTGCGAAATGTTGACTTTGGAAACTCGGAGAAGTTGGAACTAAATTTATTCCTTGGGGGTTTTATATGCTTAGTATAGGTACGTTAACTACGCGTCTTTAAAGGTATCGTTTGTAAAAATCTATAGATAAACTATTAAACGGCAGCTTTTTGTCCATACCTTCAAATGCCACATTTTGGCGGTATAATTCTGCGAAATGTTGACTTTGGAAACTCGGAGAAGTTGGAACTAAATTTATTCCTTGGGGGTTTGTATATGTTTAGTATAGGTTTATTAACTACGTGACTTTTAAGGTATCGTTTGTAAAAATCTATAGATAAACTATTAAAGGGCAGCTTTTTGTCCATACCTTCAAATGCCACATTTTGGCTGTATAATTCTGCGAAATGTTGACTTTGGAAACTCGGAGAAGTTAGAACTAAATTTATTCCTTGGGGATTTTACATGCCCAGTATAGGTACGTTAACTACGCGTCTTTTAAGGTATCGTTTGTAAAAATCTATAGATAAATTATTAAAGGGCAACTTTTTGTCCATACCTTCAAATGCCACATTTTGGCTGTATAATTCTGCGAAATGTTGACTTTGGAAACTCGGAGAAGGTGGAACTAAATTTATTCCTTGGGGGTTTTATATGCTTAGTATAGGTACGTTAACTACGCGTCCTTTAAGGTATTGTTTGTAAAAATCTATAGATAAATTATTAAAGGGCAGCCTTTTGTCCATACCTTCAAATGCCACATTTTGGCGGTATAGTTCTGCGAAATGTTGACTTTGGAAACTCGGAGAAGTTGGAACTAAATTTATTCCTTGGGGGTTTTCTATGCTTAGTATAGGTACGTTAACTACGCGTCTTTTAAGGTATCGTTTGTAAAAATCTATAGATAAACTATCCAACGGCAGCCTTTGGTCCATACCTTCAAATACCACATTTTGGCGGTATAATTCTGCGAAATGTTGACTTTGGAAACTCGGAGAAGTTGGAACTAAATTTATTCCTTGGGGGTTTTATATGCTTAGTATAGGTACGTTAACTACGCGTCTTTTAAGGTATCGTTTGTAAAAATCTATAGATAAACTATTAAAGGGCAGCCTTTTGTCCATACCTTCAAATGCCACATTTTGGCGGTATAATTCTGCGAAATGTTGACTTTGGAAACTCGGAGAAGTTGGAACTAAATTTATTCCTTGGGGGTTTTATATGCTTAGTATAGGTACGTTAACTACGCGTCTTTTAAGGTATCGTTTGTAAAAATCTATAGATAAACTATGAAAGGGCAGCTTTTTGTCCATACCTTCAAATGCCACATTTTGGCGGTATAATTCTGCGAAATGTTGACTTTGGAAACTCGGAGAAGGTGGAACTAAATTTATTCCTTGGGGGTTTTATATGCTTAGTATAGGTACGTTAACTACGCGTCTTTAAAGGTATCGTTTGTAAAAATCTATAGATAAACTATTAAACGGCAGCCTTTGGTCCATACCTTCAAATGCCACATTTTGGCTGTATAATTCTGCGAAATGTTGACTTTGGAAACTCGGAGAAGGTGGAACTAAATTTATTCCTTGGGGGTTTTATATGCTTAGTATAGGTTTATTAACTACGTGACTTTTAAGGTATCGCTTGTAAAAATCTATAGATAAACTATAAAACGGCAGCCTTTTGTCCATACCTTCAAATGCCACATTTTGGCGGTATATTTCTGCGAAATGTTGACTTTGGAAACTCGGAGAAGTTGGAACTAAATTTATTCCTTGGGGGTTTTATATGCTTAGTATAGGTACGTTAACTACGCGTCTTTTAAGGTATCGTTTGTAAAAATCTATAGATAAACTATTAAAGGGCAGCTTTTTGTCCATACCTTCAAATGCCACATTTTGGCTGTATAATTCTGCGAAATGTTGACTTTGGAAACTCGGTGAAGTTGGAACTTAATTTATTCCTTGGGGGTTTGTATATGTTTAGTATAGGTTTATTAACTACGTGACTTTTAAGGTATCGTTTGTAAAAATCTATAGATAAACTATTAAACGGCAGCCTTTTGTCCATACCTTCAAATGCCACATTTTGGCGGTATATTTCTGCGAAATGTTGACTTTGGAATCTCGGAGAAGTTGGAACTAAATTTATTCCTTGGGGGTTTTATATGCTTAGTATAGGTACGTTAACTACGCGTCTTTTAAGGTATCGTTTGTAAAAATCTATAGATAAACTATTAAAGGGCAGCCTTTTGTCCATACCTTCAAATGCCACATTTTGGCGGTATAATTCTGCGAAATGTTGACTTTGGAAACTCGGAGAAGTTGGAACTAAATTTATTCCTTGGGGGTTTTATATGCTTAGTATAGGTACGTTAACTACGCGTCTTTTAAGGTATCGTTTGTAAAAATCTATAGATAAACTATTAAAGGGCAGCCTTTTGTCCATACCTTCAAATGCCACATTTTGGCGGTATAATTCTGCGAAATGTTGACTTTGGAAACTCGGAGAAGTTAGAACTAAATTTATTCCTTGGGGATTTTACATGCCCAGTATAGGTACGTTAACTACGCGTCTTTTAAGGTATCGTTTGTAAAAATCTATAGATAAATTATTAAAGGGCAACTTTTTGTCCATACCTTCAAATGCCACATTTTGGCTGTATAATTCTGCGAAATGTTGACTTTGGAAACTCGGAGAAGGTGGAACTAAATTTATTCCTTGGGGGTTTTATATGCTTAGTATAGGTACGTTAACTACGCGTCCTTTAAGGTATTGTTTGTAAAAATCTATAGATAAATTATTAAAGGGCAGCCTTTTGTCCATACCTTCAAATGCCACATTTTGGCGGTATAGTTCTGCGAAATGTTGACTTTGGAAACTCGGAGAAGTTGGAACTAAATTTATTCCTTGGGGGTTTTCTATGCTTAGTATAGGTACGTTAACTACGCGTCTTTTAAGGTATCGTTTGTAAAAATCTATAGATAAACTATCCAACGGCAGCCTTTGGTCCATACCTTCAAATACCACATTTTGGCGGTATAATTCTGCGAAATGTTGACTTTGGAAACTCGGAGAAGTTGGAACTAAATTTATTCCTTGGGGGTTTTATATGCTTAGTATAGGTACGTTAACTACGCGTCTTTTAAGGTATCGTTTGTAAAAATCTATAGATAAACTATTAAAGGGCAGCCTTTTGTCCATACCTTCAAATGCCACATTTTGGCGGTATAATTCTGCGAAATGTTGACTTTGGAAACTCGGAGAAGTTGGAACTAAATTTATTCCTTGGGGGTTTTATATGCTTAGTATAGGTACGTTAACTACGCGTCTTTTAAGGTATCGTTTGTAAAAATCTATAGATAAACTATGAAAGGGCAGCTTTTTGTCCATACCTTCAAATGCCACATTTTGGCGGTATAATTCTGCGAAATGTTGACTTTGGAAACTCGGAGAAGGTGGAACTAAATTTATTCCTTGGGGGTTTTATATGCTTAGTATAGGTACGTTAACTACGCGTCTTTAAAGGTATCGTTTGTAAAAATCTATAGATAAACTATTAAACGGCAGCTTTTTGTCCATACCTTCAAATGCCACATTTTGGCTGTATAATTCTGCGAAATGTTGACTTTGGAAACTCGGAGAAGGTTAGGTTAGGTTAGGTTAAAGCGGTAGCCGGGAGGGGGGGGGATAAGAGCCTCCCGCCCCCAAGCTCACTTGGACCTATAAACAGGTCCGTTGTGTTGCCGCATGGGCATGTGCCCCTTCGCGTTGCCCGAACCGTGAGAGCATACTACTGCAGGTTAAGGGCAGTCCCATCCGGTGGCTTGGATGTATTTGGACAAGGTCCCTGGTTTGATTACGGATAGGTCCGAAATGTCCGTGAGGAAAGCGGCCCCGAGAATACGAAGACG